CTGTTCTCTTGAGAACTTGCAATGCATGTTCATGCTTTTTGTGAGAAGTTCCAGTTTGTAATAATTGTACATACATCCTGATTCTTAGAAGCAGAATTTACCTGCAACAGCAAAATCCTGTATTGTGGTTATGTAGTGGTTTAATTTTTTTTTGGTCATAAGTACAGGACAGTGTTTCCAGATGAGGAAGGAATACACTTGACTTGGTACTGAGCATGTGATGGTACAAATCTAAAGTCTGGGGATTCATAGAGTTAAGTGCAAGTATTTTGCCAGTCTGCTTTTGAAGTTAATACTGAATACAGAGAATGAGTAAGCGGTCTACTAAAAGGTTTGCTGTAGCAGTTTCACTCAAGGATAAATGCTAATAACCTGCATGTATTTAGAACCCATTTTGTGGAGATTCATTAGGCTGGTGGGAATTCTATGATTTAGGAATATATAAAGTATTGGCGATGGATTAAGCTGTGTCTAAATAGATTATTAGGTGCTCTTAAAATAGTAATCAGGATCGACCTCAGTTCTTTGTTCAGATAAGTTTGTGCTTCTATTGCCAGTATAGAAGTTAAGAAACTTTAATTTTCTTGTATGCGTAGCAAGGATATTTAAGCTAGGACTTTACCTGACTGGAAACAATTTTTGAATATCTTGAATGTGGAATCTGAACTCTGAAAATCTGAAATCTGTGAAATGGGAGTTGCTGATCTTGGATGAGGGTATAATTTGCTATGAAACAGGTGCATGTGGCTGAAGTCTCAGACCAAGAAAATTGCACAAAGCAGTTAATCCCAGCTGCCAAACTTCTATGACAGCTTGACTGCTCAGGTGGAAGAATTGTATGGACTATAATTGATTTGTAATTGGAAAAATGTAAGTAGAAAGTGCAAAGTAAATTGGGTTAATGATAGTATATAAAGCACAAGTTAAATAAGGATGTTGGGTAGTTTCATAACGTGAATTATCTAGAATTTACCATTTTACATAAAACCAAGCTGGTAATTTCAGTGTGTGTTTTTTTTTATGGAGGCCATGTTGGAAGGGGCAGTTACTTCTTGGTCTTCCAAACCAGAGCAACTGCTGCCAAAGTTGTGTTAGTGCCTGAAAAAAGGTTGTGGGATGGATGCTGGTTGTCTTTGTCAAACTGTCCTTGAGAACACAGCCCTGTCAGAGCCAGCAAATTCAATTCTTGTAATGCAGAAGCAGAGGCATTGTTCTTTAGGCCATCAACAGCTCAGAGGTTAATGAGATACAGAATGCTGTCTGCATGCACTTGACAGAGTTGCCACAGTAGGATCTGCACTAAAACTCTGCAAGGCCAGCTGCTGTGGGGGTCTTCTAACATCATAGTATGGATGAGGGCATTGAGTGCACCCTCAGTAAGTTTGCAGATGACACCAAGCTAGGTGCGTGTGTTGATCTGCTCGAGGGTAGGAAGGCTCTGCAGGAGGATCTGGATAGGCTGCACCGATGGGCTGAGGTCAACTGCATGAAGTTCAACAAGGCCAAGTGCCGGGTCCTGCACCTGGGATGCAATAACCCCAAGCAGAACTACAGACTGGGAGATGAGTGGTTGGAGAGCTGCCAGGCAGAGAAGGACCTGGGAGTGATGGTGGACAGTCGGCTGAATATGAGCCAGCAGTGTGCTCAGGTGGCCAAGAAGGCCAACGGCATCCTGGCTTGTATCAGAAACAGTGTGACCAGCAGGGCTAGGGAGGTGATCGTCCCCCTGTACTCAGCTCTGGTGAGGCCGCACCTCGAGTACTGTGTTCAGTTTTGGGCCCCTCGCTACAAGAAGGACATCGAGGTGCTTGAGTGGGTCCAGAGAAGGGCGACGAAGCTGGTGAGGGGCCTGGAGAACAAGTCCTACGAGGAGCGGCTGAGGGAGCTGGGCTTGTTCAGCCTGGAGAAAAGGAGGCTCAGGGGTGACCTTATCACTCTCTACAGATACCTTAAAGGAGGCTGTAGTGAGGTGGGGGTTGGTCTGTTCTCCCACGTGCCTGGTGACAGGATTAGGGGGAATGGGCTAAAATTGCACTAGGGAAAGTTTAGGTTGGATATTAAGAAGAACCTCTTTACTGAGAGGGTTGTGAGGCACTGGAAAAGGCTGCCCAGGGAAGTGGTGGAGTCACCATCCCTGGAGGTCTTGGAAAGACATTTAGATGTAGAGCTTAGTGATATGGTTTAGTGGAGGACTGGTTAGTGTTAGGTCAGGGGTTGGACCAGGTGATCTTGGAGGTCTCTTCCAACCTAGATGATTCTGTGATTTCCACAAGACACTTCTGTTACACATCTGTTTCTTCAAACAGAAAGGTCTTTAGGGGTCTAGTATTATTTTTACTAAGAGATTAATGAAGTAATTGCCATAGAGGAGGGAGTCTGAAAGATACTCAATTGTGAAAGAAGGCCTGAAGCACTTGGCCAGTTAACTGGCAATTTCTACTGCTTAAATTTCATCTCAGCCTGAAATGTATTTACTTTCATTTTGAACCTAACCCCTCAACTATGATTTGAGGCAGGAGGTGCACCAGCATCTCTTGCAATCTGCAAGGGTCCATCACTGTGAAAGCACAACTCTACTTCCTCCACTGCAAAGTCACTGAAACAAAAACAGAATTCCCAGCAGGTGTTAAGTGACATACAGCTGCACACTTGCTCCCACCCACCTCGGTCAGGGATGGATGCTTCTCCTGGCCAGCAGAGGGCAGCAGCTCTATCAATAGGAAGCCAGGGTCCTTGACGTCCCTTCAGCCAAGGTTTCTGCCTGTGGTGGTTTTACTGTGCTAAGCAGTTAAACACCACAACCGGTCTCTCACTCCCCCTCCTTAGATGAGGAGGGGAAGAAGTAAAAGTAAAGAATGACTCACTGGTTGAGATAAGGATAATTCAACTAAAGGGAAAACAATTATTAAAGAAATATTATTATTAACTAAACAATTTTAGGGGGGAAAAGAAGGAAAGGGAAGAACAAACAAAACAAATGAAGGCTGTGTGGAAGTGCAGAGGAAAGAAATTACTCTCTACTTCCCACAAATGAGCGATGCTTGACCACGTCCTTGAAGCAGGGCCTCAATGCACGTAGCCAGTGTTCGGGAGGAGGACCGACATTTTCACAACAAGAGCCCACCCCTCCCCTCTTCTTCCTGTTTCCTCCTTTTATTGCTGAGTGTGACACCACATGGTACAGAATATCCCTTTGGTTTGTTTAGGTCAGCTGCCCTGGTGATGTTTCTCTTCTCACTTTTTTTGCCCACCCCCTAGGAGGGTTAAAGAGAGTCCTGATGCTGTGCCAGCACTGCTCCGTGGCAGACACAACACTGGTGTGATAACACTGCTGTTCCAGCTACAAGTGTAGAGCACAGCACTGTGTGGACTCCTGCAGGGAATGTTAACATCCCTGTTAACATCCCAGCCAAACCCAGTACACTGCCTCCAGCAGCCTGTTTTTCATTTTTCTCTGCCTTTATTGGTCTTGCTATGTGTGTATGGCTCACTTGTGGTGCCTTGGAGCCATCCTCTCTCATGAATGAAATCTGCCCAGGACAGTTCTGTTTTTTGTCTTCCCTCTGCCCTGTCTCGACTGCTCCAGCTCTTTCCCACCATTACAAATTTACTGAGATACTCTGCAAAAAGATCCAATGAGGCAGTTGAAAGTCTCTGGTTTTGCCCAACTACAAGCTGAATTTGCATTAAAGATTAAATTCTATCAAGCAGGTAAGGTCCAATGGTAAAAGAAGCTGAACAAGTGAAATTTCACAAAGGATTTGTACATACTTTATTTTGTGAAATACAATAAAAAATGTTTATTCCTCTAGAATATCTATACAAAATTTAGAATATGCAGAGTGCCCTTTTAATCTCAAGCAACATTTGTCACATGTACAAAACATTATAGAAACACTCATTAATCAAAGCACAGTAAATGGATGCCATTTTTCAACAACTCAAAACAGCCTCTAAACCAGTGCAAATTTTACTGCGTTATAGAAAATTCCCCAACTCCATAAATTCATAATTTATTCACACCACATCCTCTCATCCTCATGACAGTTTATTTTAAACTCCTAGGAGGAGTTTAATGTGCTTCTATAAACATCGAACAATCCCTTTAATTTGCACCACTGATTGATGCAGACTGAAAAACAAAAAGGTAAAACAATCCTTTTCTTTCACCATATGCATAATGATATACAGCAGAGTAGGAAACAGAACTACGGTCCAATTCAAAAGTTGAGTTTCAAGATTTAGAAGTTACAAGGGTGTTTCATTTATTTTTTTAAAGGTCTATGAAGAAAAGCTGAAACAGAAGGCATTGTGAAGTTTTTATTAGTTAAAAGAAGAAAAAAAAAGTATAGTTCTGCAAGGTGCCCACCTTACCATTTAATGAAATAAAGTTATCTGCACTGAAGTAACTTTGAAAAGAGAGAATGAGTGGATTCTTCAGTTACTTGTATTTAATAATTTGTTTAAAAAATATAATTTCTATGATCTAATTTAATATACACTTTGAAAATATGCACCTATGTTGCAGTTATTCAAGGAAAGCAGTAAATTCAAAGGAAGGTGTATTATTCTAACTGCAGCAATACAAAAAGCCATTAATTCACAGTTACAGTGGAATAAAAGTACTCAATATAAGTGCAATGTAGCTTGAGCTTAACCAATGTGAAATTCCACTAGTACTAAGACAAAGTTGTTTGCAAAACAAACTGAGTTTAAAACACACATGCTGATTTCAATACTTTCTATCAAACTTCTATTTTCTAAGCTTGAATTATATAGAATGTGAAGACAAGATATGACTATAAGTAACATACAGATGTTTCTATTAACATGTGAAAGCTGGTACCTTTTACTGTGCCAATACTGCAGCCATATCAGTCCCCTATGCACACCAGGGTTTCGAAGTTATTATAGGTTGGCAATGTGCCAGAATATATTCACAAAAAAGAATCTTTCAGAATCCTGATTTTAAAACTTTTAAGACTCCTATTTTTTTGTTGTTTTAATTCTACAAAAAAAAAAAAAAAAGGTAGTTTGACACACAAGTTGTATCTAGCTTTCATAGCTAGGGGAAAGGTGCAAGATAGTATCTTCTCAGCACTACTAACTGGAATCGAATGTTCTTAGGGCAACAATTCAAGGAAGCTTCTCTGTGATATTAGTTATTCCAATACAAACTTTCTGACTTCTTGGGCTTACTTGAAAGTTCACTAAGAGTTTGCTCCCACATATGTACACAGTTTGGTTTGTACCCTTATTTTGTGCAAACATCACAGGTTTTGAATGGAATATTGATCTATGACCATTTTCTTCAAGTTTATAAAACATGTTCAAAAACCCATCTTCTGCTTGAGTGCTAGCTGCTAAGTAGCTGTCAGACTATACAGAATATTTAGAGGCAAGGATGCTACTTTTTCTGCTTCAATTAAGAGGAAAACAGAATCAAGACCAAGTTTATCCACCTCCCTCCTCCCCAGTACCCTTGTCTAACTCATTCATGCATTATGGATTCGAATAACCAAGATTTGGATTACCAGGAACAGGAACATTTGTAGGCAACTAAATTATTCCTATGAAGCCCAAGTAGTTTATGCTGTTACTAACTGCAGATAACAATGTCTTAGGCCTTTACTGCCCCATGTTCAGAAACACAAGTGTTTGAAATGAACTCATATGAAGCTTTTGGAGACTTTTCCCCTCTTTAGTTTTAAACAGATTTTAGAGTGTATGGGTATTGAGCCACGATAAGCACTTTTCTTCAGCACAATTATAGTGCTTTTAGCATTTGAATTAGAGAAGTCTGCATCGCACAAATCTACCTAGGAAAACCTCCACCTGGTTGTAGGAGACCTAATAGTCAGATGGAGGAACAGGAACTGCCACCATGTACTTGCAAGGACAGAAAGCAACTTAACAAGTAAACAGTTGGTTCCCATTCCTTTCAAATTTTTGTGAACGTGTCTTGTTTGTGGTGTTTTGCTTTCTTAAAAAGAATCTCCTTATCATCTTAAAGACAAGATAACTAAATATTTTCAGAATTCTCCTTTTTAATTTTAATTATGGATTTCACTTGAGAGCCAGCTGAGTAACAGGCTATTGAAAACTATGCGTTAGCAATCAAAATTAAAAATATTAAGTGCCCACTTTTGCCTTTACATCTATATTAAAAGAGTTAATATCAGTAGGCATTTAATGATTTCAAATAATTCCATGCAGAACTTCTACCACTGTAAAACTGAGTTACATACAACAGGAATAGAAACTAATTTGTAGTGTACAGAAACATCAATACACAGGAGCAAATCAAAGCAAGTTCAGCCATCTTCAAAGATGACCTGAAATCATGCAGGCATCCTTTTTCCTCAGGTAATATTGTCTTCTTTCCTAGTTTCCGTATGTATGTACTGTAAAGCCTAACATTTAGCACTAGATGTAGTAGACACACTCTACCCTGCCTGTTTCTACTATACTATTTCCCAATTAATCAGTATTTTCATCACCAAGTAAGAAGGTTGTTTTAAAATTAAGCTTTATTACTATTATTTATTTCTGTATTACTTACCATGGTGTAAAAGCAGTCTGAATATCACCAGTTATGTAGAACAGGACTTACTGGACATATTTTTCTTTTTAATGAGCTGGGAGAATTAAGGATCACTAAAACTTCATTCCTTGTAAGCTGAGTCACAATCATATGGTTGTTTATCCATTCAATACTCAAAATTATTCGTGTATGGCTGTACATTTAATGTCAGTATACAGTTATAGAGTGAAATTTGCCCCTTTTTCTATGTAGAGGAATTAAATAGGAAGAATGCTTCAGAGAAACATTTTGTTTAAAAGGATGTTAACTGTGCATGTAAATTATATAAAAGGAGAAGAAGATTAAGTATGAAGAATCAGGCTCAACTCTTCCATTGTGATAAAGGTCTGATATCTACAAGCAACCGTTCATAAACCCCAAAGAATAAAGAACAAAAAAAGAAGTCATTGTGTTCTTTGCTTTTAATTGTTGAGACAGCACAATATTTTCATCAGGAAAGAATCTGTCCAGGCAATATCCCCAATATTAACTTAGGATCAGCACTTTTAGACAAATGCAAGGAATCAGTCTATTATGCAAACATATTTTGTCACAAATAGTGCAAATCCTTTGTTTCATTGTTATAAAAAAAATGCTTTTGATGTTTTAGCTGGAAGTGGTTTCAGACAGATTTTCATCCCTCATCATTTTCAAGAATAAAAATCTTTAAGAAAGGCTAGTATGAAGTAAATACATTCATACTCAGATGGGATTATAGTTTGAGCTATGCTCCTTCACCATGCTACCAATCTTTCTCATCTTTCTCCAAGAATCATTCCATTAGAAAAGCCACTCAGTTAAATTTCAGCAAAAACAAAAAATGGAATAAATCTTGTCATATTTCTCAAGTAACAGAAACATTTAAACTGTAGACCCGTGTCCAGGCTCTTCTTGCCAAGGATACGATTACTGTTGTACACTAAATATGAGGTGAGAAAGGATCTAGTTTACAAGATGCAAGCTAACGATGGATTTATCATCTCTTCAGATCATTCATTCAAGCACTTCATTTGTGTGAAGTCACACCTTGACGACCACAATTATAAATACGTTTTAATTGAAATATTAAATTTGGACTAATCAGTGCAAAACAATTAACCCACAGGCTAGCATGAAACCATGGGGGAGGGCAATAAAGAGATCAAGGAAAATACATTTTCAAAGCATACATGCATACAGTATAGAGCATAATTTTTTCAGACAGCATCTGTTTGACAAGCTTTCTCTGAATACTAATGTCTAAGTTTCCTGTGTAACTTGTAGAAAGCCATTCATTTCCAAGCGGCTAATTGGAGAAACCTATAATTCTCTTGCAGAAAACATCAATATGTTCACAGGATCTTCAATTTGTCAGGATAGAGTATATAGGAAATATGAATGCAAGTTTATAGATTTTATGACTATAGACATACATTATGAAAAAGTGAAGTCAAAGATCATTTTGAATACTGAGTGGGACAAGGGTAGAAATTTTAGGTACTGTGATCTGAAAAAGGCAACTTCATTGCAATTTCCAAAACAAGGACTCATATATTTACATTCATACATATATACTGCACAACAATGCAAAAGGTCATTTTAAAGAAGTACTGAAGTACCGAAAGAACCTAAGCATTATGCAGCAGGAAAGGTCTTTCACATTAAAATACACAAATATTGAAGGCCCTTAAGAAAGTCACCAACTATAGGCTCCTGTTTAATTATTGCCTTTCTGAACAGCTTGAGATTCTGGGGAAAGATTTGAGGAAAGAAAAGAACAAATACATGCAGGAAAGAAATTGCAGATAAATCATTGAAACCAACTCACCCTATTAATGTATTTTAAAAACATTTTAAAATCCTTTACACTGTCTCATGAGATGAAAGACAAGGTTATATGCTGTAGATCGATGAAATCACTGACAAATTGCTCAGTTATCACCTTCTAGGATTCAAAAGTATATGTATATATATATATATCCCCATACTCCTGGTTTGTTCACCTACTTTTGTCTTGCAGAAGTTTAGTTCTGTGCTTTCCTCTTTTTTATATAAAAGGTGCTCCAAAGTACTTCCTACAATACTCAACTCTGCTGCTTGGTGGAGCATCTATTTTCTGCATCTTTTCAAGATCATCCTTTGGTAGATTTTTATGTGCAAGTCTGTATTCACTATCAAAGACCTCTGAAATAGAAAGAGCATTGCTGAAGTCATTTATGAAACCATGTACAGAGAACAATACTGTTACTATTAAAATGCTTTTGGTCATTTTTATATAATAAAAAAATTATTATCTCAAGTTAACTGAACTAGGTACTTATTTGTTTTGCTTTTTTTCCCCCAAAAAATACAACCTCTCAGAAAACTCGAAAAGCATTTTCAGGCTGTAATGTCAAAAAGCATTGCAGTGGAGGCTCAAACTGCACTGTGTGGCTTGCCTACCTCCAGAATATTTCCTATCAGATGCCACAAAGGAAGGGAGTCTCCCTTGTTTGCATAGTGCCAAATAAATGTTAGAGTAGGGGTCAGCAGGAAGCATTGGCAAGCAGGTGTCTAGAAGACACAGAACAACACTACAGGGTATGTAGGTCAGAGAAAGATAAGCAAGAGTGGGAGCAAGTTTTCAGACATAAGGCAAAGCTTTAAGGTAATAACCTTTGTTTAAAATAATTACTTCTTTTATTCAAAATGGAAATTAACATCCCCATCTGGACTAGATTTTCAGAAAAGCAAAACCTATGACAGCAAGGACCTTTTCTCTAAAAATGCAGTAATTGAACAGTTACTCATCAATCAAATGCTGAATTTCTTCACTAGTTTTCATACAAAGTGTACACATATTTTGTACACATACCACATTATTATTATTATTATTATTACTACTACTACTTACCTATGTCAATGTTCTCTCTTCCAAGAGACACCAGAGAGAGGAAAAGGATTTCTCTGTAAAAACTCCTAGGAAATATTGTGAAGGATAAATCAGTGGAAAAATAACTATTCACAGTTTAGAAAGTCACTGTTCAAGAGGTTAATCTTCCATTATGCTCTTTCTGTAACTGTACTGTTATCTTGCTTGTGGAGAAAGCAATTGATCTACATGATCAGTAGCTTAAGGTTTTTTCATGCCTGAATATTTTCCGTAACATGGGAAGGTGTATTAACGCCAACTCTCAACAGTTAGAATGACTATAAAATCTCCCTGCCAAATACACCACAGAAAGCCTCCAGAACAACAAGAAACGTAAAATACAGCACTAGTTATTTATTAACTAATTCCTGTCTGAGGATTAAGGACAGAGAGCAGGCTTATTTCAGAGATCAGCCATACTTTGTTATTTGTTTCAGAAAGCTAAGATCTATCTCGGAACTGGTACTACTAAATAAATGGATATTAAACCTTTCCTTGTGGAACTGATAAAGATTCTTCTTTACGCAGATTAGTTCTTTTGTTTGTTTGTTTTTAGTACTTACAAACCACAGGAGCAAAGATTAACTTTACATGATAGACTCTTGAACAAACCTTGCATCTACAGTAATTTACTCCAGACTACGTGCTTTTGCATGAAAACCTTTTTGAAGTACTGTGCAGATGGCAAAATGTACAGCATTATTTACAAATCTCAACTTGGCTTGTGGATCCACTTTTATTAGCTAGTACTCCAGATTGGTATAATTTCCATAGCTGTATTTAGGTTGTTTGGAGAACATTCCAGGTACTGCAACAGGATGCTGTGCACTTGGACTTGATCTGCTAGGAGTGGAAACAACACCCAAGTCTATATAATCAGTACCCATGTTTTTTTTTTTTTTTTTTTCTTTTTCTCTTTTTAATTAATTTTAAAATGCTCACTTTGATTAAATAAACATATTTATCCATTTGATTTGGATGAATTTTGCATCTGGCAACAGAACGAATTTTTTTTGTAAACATGGGGAGTAACAAATATTTACAAATAAACACAGCATTTGGTAGACGCAGAAGATACTGAATATTCCTCAGAAATCCTTATGGAATTATCATTTTGAAGTGATTACGGTCTGATCTTACTTAACTTTGAGTGGGAAGCAAGAAAAAAGATTGTCCCTTTACCTTTGTCGTTTCACATCTGGTTTAACATTCTGTAAAAGGAGGTGGATTGGTTTAACAACATTGTTGTGTTGAATGCTTAGTTTGATGTTCTCCAATAAAGTGTTCACTGCCTGCTGATCTTCTGCCACTGTGGACAGTCTCTTTTCAGAAGAATCTGGTAAATGCAGAATGGTAGATTTTTAAATTAGCAAGCACAAATTCACTTCAAAAATGAAATATATATAGAACCTCTATTCAATCTACAGAAATGTGTTACCTTTGTCTGCTTTCCTTCACTACAAAAGTGACAGAATGCATCAAGTATTCCCATATAACAGAGAAGTACAAGAGACTGAAGAGACTCTAGCTTTGGATGTTACCTGTCATAGTTTATTAGCTCAAATATGTTACTGTACTTAGCCTTCTTAGAATGAACTTTTTATTTATTTATATGCAAAGTAGAAAGGAAAAAGCAAACACTTGCTTTTCAAACATGTCTTATCAAAGCCTTTCCTGAAAGACACTTGCAAATTCATTGATGATAACTTTAGGCTACACATTGAAATAAAGTAGAGTTGCACCAAATGAGAAAGAAAGTGATCAAGTCATTTACCATCATGATTTGTTGTTCGCATTCCTAGTTCTAGAATAATACTATTATTTTTTAGAAAATGGCTCATGAAGATATAAATTCCATTTACTGGCAAAAAAAAAAAAGCTACAGATTAGGCAGTAAGCACATGATGCGTAAATGAAATGTAGACTTAGCCAGGAGCCTAACCATGTTGACTTGAGCGTTTCATAAAATTGTCATTCATTATGGTTTTCCAAATACTTTCTGTAGAGCCGCTCTGCAATACTACTGCAGTTTTTTTTTTCCTCCAGCACAACATTTAAAACAGGCCTATGTATATAAATGCATGTATTTATGCATTTTCAAGTCTAAGTGCTTTGGGTCAGCTTTTCATATATTATACTCAAATTAATATGCTTCTATAGAAGTTGAGGAAAATACATCTTATTCTGTGCTCTTGAGTAATTTTCTGATCAGCCTGCTTAGTTTTAGGACACTTTGGACAACCTGTTTTTAATTCCTTAGAGCAAGAGCTAACTTTTAGCCTGGACTTTAAAAGTCAAAATGCAAACAGAGAAATTAGGTCAAAGGTTGTTTTTTTTGTTTGTTTGTTTTTTTCATTCGTGTGTTGTTTTGTTGTTGTTTTTTTTGTTTGTTTGTTTTGTTTTCTTTTCTTTTTTAACTGATAGAAGTAAAGGTATCTTAAAGTTCTCAGGAGTTCTCAGAACCAGTCTGCCACATGATGCTTTTTCATCCTTCCAAACCAAACTACACTAGGCAAAGGCTTTCTTGGATATTATTTTATGACAGCCAAGTAGGCTGTCAAATGTACTTATTAATTGGACTTGCAACCTTTCATTCATTTATAAAAATACAAGGTACTCTTTTGTAGTACAGTCTTTCTCTTTCTGTCTGTACAGATACATTCAGGTATTGCAGTGAACAATCAAACTGAGGGAAGATTTTTTTTAACAACAAATCTAGAACAAATGCTTCCATCCTGTTTGTAAGCATATGGCATATAAAGAACAGATTACATATCTTTTCACACAGATCGGGAAAATATCATAACAAATAATTTGATGTTGAAACAATGTTAAGTACCTAAGAGACTACAGATGCTTCATGCACTAAAAAGCTTTCCAACTAGGTGGGTGGTATACCTTCAGACACTACAAAAAAGCAGTTTCTTTCTATAAGCTCTTTACTCTGTTTACTTGTATCATTTATTTTACTTACTGAGATTTCTCCAAGATATATAGAGAGGCTCCCCAGGCTCTTGGTGGAGGTTGATGTTGTCCCACAGAAGTTGTATGTATACTAGCTTGCTATCTTGAGCAAGAGATGTCAAAGGAAGCTAAAAACATGAGGAAAGACAAAAAGTTTTAAGAACATACATGCACACTTACTGCTCAAAAAACTGTTCTTATGCTCATTTTGCAAACAAAAAATAGATTTACTTCACTTATATGGAATAAAACAAATAAGAACTGATGTCTGCATTTTCAGGAGCAGAGTCACATACACTGCAACATTTAACAGCCTCTTCTAGTCTAGCTTGACGAATGAAGATTGTTCAGTTTTCTATGTGTATCTGCAGAAAGTATTTGGTTATGTATCTTGAACTACTTTTTGTTAACTAAACATATTTCTCATTTTGTACTACTTATTACAGTCTTAGAGTTCTGATTTGAGTGAGTCTTGATATGCATAAATATGTGCTCTGTCCAGCAGCTAAAACAGAAACTGTATTTTCATACTAATACGAACCATTATTTCCATCATAAAACATCTGTCACTCAAAACAATAGCTCAATTTTTTACAAAAAATATAAAATTAAGTGCCACTGGAATCACTAATACAATAAGAATCAGTGGACAAATATAATAAGACAGTAGTGTATGAATTTAAAGTAGTAATCACAATTTCATGTCCCATCTTGTGATTTTCTCTGCTAATGCATTGTATTTTTCCATATGCTTTAGATTTTATCAGTATTAGTGTTCAGCCACATTTCTTAGAAAATTCTATGGCACACTCCACAGTAGGTTTTTTTTTTTTTTTTTTTTTTAATATGTATTAGTTATTAATTTTATTAAAAATATTATTTTTTTTTAATATGTATTAGTGTAAGTTTATAAGCAGACAGGAAATTATTTATCACGTGAGACAAATACAAATAGTCAAGGAATTTGGCATTTACATACACAATTCGTATAGGTATATGAAAAACATCTGTTCCTTAAAATAGGAAAGACAAAATATTGAAAAGATAGCATTAATTATTTTATTCTATTTATATAGCAGTGAAACTCACTGAAGTCTGAATAGCAGAAAAGAACAAAGAATCTTACCCAAGAACATGAAAATTTTATGTACCAAATTATGGCAGTCCACAACATGTATTACAATACGTTGTAATCTGTTAAATCTCCACAAACATATCTTGTTTCCTTCAATGAATCTACTCTGGCAAGAATAGCTTGACTAGAATGAGTGATGTTTTCACTCTCTGTCTTTCAAGATTCTTTTTGGAAAACAAGCTTATCTGCTAGTAATATATTAAAAAAGACAGTAACACGTAATTTATTTAATCCAAGCTACTCAGAAGGCACTTACCTATTTATTTATTTATTTTTAACTAAACCCTCAAATTTAGAAGTGAACATATTACAGTAAACTAACACAAAATGTCACTAACCTGCACTCCATCATTACAATGTTCAGATGTTAGAATGAGTCCAGGTAAGTTGCTAGGTAGGTCCAACCGTCGGAAATACCAAACTAGGTTCCAGAAAATTATGGGATGCTGATTAATGAATTTGGATGTATGGATTACTTGCTCTCCCTCATTTTCCAATAGTGATTCAAGCTCCTTACGCAGTACCAAAGGGCTCAAGTAGGGTACAGATACAGGGAGAGGGTTAGGTCTTTTTATTAAAGGATCCTAAAAAAAAATACATTGAATATTATATAATATTAACATACGATATATAGTATGATATATAATATATATATAATATAATATATTAATCTATGGTATATAGTATTAATATATAATATTGAAAAATTTCCAAAATCAAATAATTTTTCTTGAAAATGCCCCATTGCACTGTTTGAAATTTGGAAGAAGCCTCTGGAAGTACTGAATACACATTAATTTTAACAGCATCAGTAGTTTTGTCTGCTGAGGTGTTTCTTAACTTTACAGAACAATCACTTAAGCTCACCTAACACTGTCTTAGGTGAAAAAGAGAAAAAGAAAATGCAACTTGTCCCTGACTACACAGTTTGAAGCTACCTAACTCTGTACTAAGCCAGTGGCAATAGATACAGCAAAAAAGCATCCAATTACATTATCTATGAACTGAATCACACATACATGATATATTGAGAGAGCCTCTTGCCAATAAAAAGCCCTACGAAAAACGAGGACCTCCGTTTTACTTGCACGAATAACGCAATATTCTCAATATATCCTCTTACTTTCTCCCATCCAACCCAGCAGGTAAACCTTTTAGAATATGGAGGAGAACTAGAAGTAAACGTGAAAAAGGAACAACCTTTCACTCATTGGACCAGTCTGTTGTCTGCACTATTTGGTGTTTAGCCTGCTGTAGAACTTGCGTTATTTTTAAAACAAACTTCCAATTTAGAAAAAGACAGAGAATAGCTCAGTTCTGCCACAGAGAATGCTTAAGATTAAGCAGCTATGTTTGTACCATGTACTAAAGAAGCAGACCTTGAAACTCTTTTAGACAAAAGTAAGCCAGAAGACACCAAGATTTCTTTGTTACAAGAATCTGAAAATTAGGCTTGACCATTTCTGTCCCCAAAATATTGGACAAAGCCAGTAGAAGAACTTTATTCATTGTAAGTTCATTGTATTCAATATTTTGCTGTCAACTGAGTGTACAAACTTACCACAACTTCTTGCAAACTATTTGGAAGACTAACTGTTGAAATGCCATGAGATGGTCTCTGGGAAAGATCAATGTTCTGCAGTGGACCTCCAACACTGTGGCTCCGAGTTAAAGACACTCCCCTTTTTGGTGGATTACTGGTAGATGTCTTCATTGTTCTGGGATCTTTGCTCTGTTCTTCAGCCACATCACTATTTGGATTTTAGAAAAGAATATGCTAATATGAAACTATTCAGCATTCCTTCAGCAACAGGAAGGAAGCAGACAACGGCTGCCAAAATAACAACACCAAAGCAGGTTTCTCTATCAACAAGGAATAGTATTTGCTCAGTTAGCTCTACAGTTTAGGGAAAACAAAACAAAATGCCTTTCAGATCAACATGGCCCTCACACCAAAAAAAGCAGCTGAGTATACTAAGGTTACTAAGACATCCGTCTGAAAAATCTGCAGTAATATATATAGGCACAATTTCTCTGCTACAGCCTGTGCTTAGAAAAATACCTACGTAGATTTTGTTAGCAGACAAATATCATCCCGTTTTGACTGTGTTTACTTCATTCTTTCCTTCACGTTTATTTTCTCTGAACGTTACTAACAGAGCAAAGATGCTATAGGGTCTCCTGGATTGCCTGAAGTTAGTCTGGTTTTTTTTTTTGTTTAAAAATAAATAAATAGATATATTTATATAGATATATATTGTATATCTATCTATCTATCTATGACACCAGAGTGAAGATGTTAACATATGGCAAGTTTATCTTTCACTTTAGAGCATTAAAATTTAGAGCATTAAAATTAATCGAAGTTTTAATAGCCTAACACAGGCCTTACCTAGAGATACTCAAGACTTCCACACTGAACAACGATGAAAAAAACCTATTCCAAGAAAATGTCAGCAAGTCCCAGCAAAAGCTTCACAATTCATGGCAGCAATATTTCAGTTCCTTTCCAACAAAACACCTTCTCCTCAATGCTTTCTTCCTTAAACTGTTCCAAAATACATACTGTTTTTCTGAATTTTAGTTCTTTATCAGTATTATTTGCCATAGAACTTGCACAATTCAAGTGTTTATTGCTCCAAAGGCTGTCTCTCAGAGACAAGTGTTGCAGCAAATGTACTTATTTTCCCTATTATGCAGTGTCTTGTTGTGTTAGATTCTAAACACAAAAGGAGGAGTAATGCTGGAATTTCTGCGTGTCTTTTAAAGGTGAAGGTGTTCTAACAGCACTGAGTAGAAGTTTTACCTATCAATAGCAAACTGATATGAAAATTCAAGATCTTTATTTCTGCAGATAGCTGTATCCTTAAAATGTACTCACAGGAAATGTAATCAACTTACATGAAATTGATAATAGCATGATTACATGGGCAAAAAAATAAGCAAGGAAACAAGACAATCATCAAGTTACAATTGGATTTCTCCAACATATTTAGTGCTTAAGCCAACCACCACTCTAGACTAGAGCAGAAGTATTAAAACTGTTGATACATTTCTGACAGAATTAACAATCCTGTTTTACCTACCTCTGCTCAGCTGCAGGGCTGGTTTCTTCAGCTATGGCATGGCTGGACTCTGGGTGATCAGAAAAACTGATCAAGTCAGCCACAGCTGGACTAGACAACAATTTCTGTTCCAGAGGATCCGTGGTTAATGGAGTATTACCACTCTGTAAACTATCTCCTGAGGTACTTTGCTTCAGGAAAAAGCTAAGTTACAACATGAATGGGAGAGGAGGGGAAATAGGTTAAGATGTAAGCATAGATCCAATTAAATTAGTATTTTCCACAGTTACTTTCAAAAAGCAGAAAAAAAAAAATAAAGAAACACAGCATTTAAAAGATTGAAAACAGAACACAAACTTCATCATATTCTCTCCATGGCAACCTGCATAGGGACAGTAAATGAACACATACAGAGATTGGTTCCACAAAATAAGAATGCCTGCTTTGGAGGTATGTAGTTACAAGGGAACTTAGATTGTAATGGCTCCCATCACTAACAATATACCAATATTAATATTGTAACATAGAGACTAAAAACTATTACTGACACAAAAAACAAGAACATAACTTGTTTTGCAAGTTTTTTGTTTGTTTGCTTTTACTTAAGTACACACACTACTGATGTTCTGTTTCAGCATTAAAGAAACAAAGAGAAAACAGACTTAATACCTTCTGTGCAGTAATGCTTAAAGAAAATACGAAAAGAGTGGTAAAAAAAATGCAACCACTGTTGTCTTTTGGCTATTTTATTATGAAACTCAACAGTTTACCTAATTTATAATTTCTTTCAGTGCAATCACAAGTGTTGTACAGTTACAATTTTAAGAACATCCAGACAAAAATACTGTGAGATATAGCTAAGAATACAGAAAAGACTGTACTGCTGTGAAATTGTAGGAAGAATACAACCACGTACAAATGCAAAGGTTGAGAAAGAAGATCTGTAAAACGCACTAACCTTGCAGAGCCACGTAGGTCTTTAAATTCAACATTAAGTAAAGGTAGGAAGGTACTTTTACAAAAAGGACAGGTAGTGTTCAAGTTTGAATCATCTGGTGTCCATCCAGCCATGATTTCTTCGTCATAAACCAAAGCACCACAAGCTCTACATTGAGAGCAGCTTGACATCAATACCTAAAAACAGCAAACAATGAATGCTATCAGTCTTGTTTTAGGATTTCTTTAAAACTGGCTTTATCGGCTTAATATCTACAGGAGTTTAAAAGGTTAAGTATCAGAATGCCTGTCTGGTGATGTGAATTTATCACTGCTTACTCATCATACTCAAGAGTTACCTTTTGCTCATAACTTTCACTGTGAAATGCTAACACTAATCTTTTTTGGTTAGATGTTCTGAAAGCTGAAAGAAGTGTTACAGAAATTGTTTAAATAAATGACTGTCTACTTTTCTGCAAAAGAAGTTAAAAAGAAAGCTTTATAGTGGAAAAGAGGGAAAGGTAGTTCTTACCTAGTAAAAGTCTCATTACTAAACTAGATTAAGAACTAGAGAAATGGCGCTCTGAAAAAATACTGTAGTAGCTGAGAAATGGTTTATTATCTATCTTTCAACTTTCTTTTACTTTATTGTTTCATTTTCATAGGAAAAAATAAAAAGTACCACAAAAACCACAATGACAATGTTTTAGACCAACAGCACCATTGCTTTTACAATCCAGTATCCCTTATGTAAGATAGTGCAGAAGTTTGACAAGTCTAAATCTGACAATCAAACATAAAATAAAATTACAGGGAACATAAAAATAACACTACTGAAAGTGATTAAAGCAAATTAAGTGACCCCTATGTTTTGTTTGTTGTTTTTTTTTGGTTTTTTTTTGTTGTTTTTTTTTTCCAAAGTTTGAAAACATTTGCAAGCAACAACTGAAATAGAGTCATTATTCTAACACTGAGTACTGTGCTTGACTGCTTTTTCATAGCAGCCTTTATGGTACTGTTTTAGATTGGTGAGCAACACAATGTTTTTAATGCAACAACATTTTAGCTGTTGCTGACCAGTGCTCAAACAACACCAAGGCCTTCCCCCCACCTTAACTCTGCCAACCCAGAAAGCAGGCTGGAGATGGGGAAGAGGTTGGGAGGGGACAGAGCAGGAGACTTTCCATCCTGTATAATGTCATGCTCACCAATGAAAACTGGGCAGGATGGGGTGGGTAGTTTTTCCAGGAAGCTGTAGCCTAGCGAGTGCTGGTCTGCTGGTGGTGAGTAACTGAGTTTGTATCACTTGCTTTTTGTTTTATTTTTCTTTTTTCCTCTCCTCTATTCATTTGAGAAATAATATTACTTATTAAATTATCTTCATCTTGACCCTCAAGCTTTTTTTCTTGCCTCTGCCGTTCCATTTCTCCCCTCTAGCCTGGTAAGGTAAAATGAGTGAATGACAGGGTGGGGAACTTATCTAGTATGTGGGGGTCAATCTACCAAGCTATCTAGTAACAATACATGATTTTCCTAAGGGGGAAAAAAACTTGAAAGGAGAAAAATCTTGTTTTCTCCTCAGCTTCTACTGCACTTTAAGTTTTAAGTTTTTCCTGCTCTTTTTCTTTACAGCTACTGTCACACCTTCAGATAAAAGTATCAAGCCTCTCTACAGCAGAAAAATGCAAATGTTTTATTATGGAAAATCAAACTACAGCCCAACTAAACATAGTTACTCCATGCAGACAAATTAAGTAATTATATCTTTCACTTATGAATTTATTAATCTTACCTCCATTGCATAGTTCTGGAAAATGCTGGATAAACTAGTATTATGAGAAGAGCTGAGCTCCGACTTCTCAGAATCTGGAACTTTTGTACTTCTTGGGAATGAAGCTTCACCTGTACACAAAAGAGTAGTTTGAGTCTTCATTCAAGGAAAGAACATTCCAAAAGAAAACCAAAATAGCAGGTTTTTTTTTTTGTTTGTTTGTTTTTTTTAAATCAAGACAAAGCAGTAACAGATCTCAAGAGACATATGTAGCTATTTAAATTCATTGATATTACATAACGTAAAGATACCATTTTTGTGATTAACATTCTAAATCTATTTTTGTCTAAAGTATGCAACAGACCGGTAAAAGTGAATAAAATCTGAAAACACAAAGAAAGAACAAAGAACAGCAAAGAGCAGTAAGATTGCTCAATATATATACACTCAAGAAAAGCTGTTCAAGATTTCTTAAATTATGTATCCATATGTACATAACAAAGATAACACTGACGGAGACACACAGTACCACATATACCATTACTGTGATTAAGTATTCTCTGGCTTATGTTGACATAAAATAAAAAACCTATCTTTGGTAAGTCTGGTATTAATGGTTATGAGTTTCGCATAGAAGAAGGGGAAAAAGAGTTTGAATACCAGAAGGAAATGGTTGGATTCTGTTTATGGAAGCAAAACTATCAACATTACTTCTTCTGACAATCACAGTTAAACAGTTAAATGTTCATTTTCAAACTCACTGACAGAATCCTCCTGTCATGAAGAAAGTTCTTTTGCTTCTTCATGATAGTTCTATCATTAGAGTGCTACAAAGACAGTGAAACCAAACCCCAAGCTGTCCTGCAAAACATTTTCCTCAAATTACGGATCAAATTTGACTGGAAATGATAGATCTGCTTCAACCAGTTTTAGTGCTGGAAACATAGATGACGGTTTGGCATATATTCATAATTTGTTTACCTTCATCAATTCAAATCAAGTATGCATCCAGTAACTCCTATTCCACATTAATGTGGATGTGCTGTTTTTGGAGTTTTGGTTCTACCTCCATTACTAGGCAACTATTTGCAGTTCTTGAACACAAAGGAAGTATTTTACAGTTCAATGCCTGTAGTTTTCATCAACTTTTTATACATTGAAAGAATAGATGCATTAGCTATTTGCTACTGCAAGAGGAAAGTATTTATAAAATACAAATAAAAATAAAGTAATTTCACATTATCACACCTTCCACTGTATTAAATATATTTTTCAGACATAACAATTTTACCTATTTGTTACATTATAAACTAAAAACAAAGGTAAAAAAATCTCACCTGCACTGTAATGCTGTCTTCCTGCATCTCCACTGCTGCTGCTGCTGCCAAGACTAGTAGTGCTTTGCGCAAGCTCATTCGCAATTAGTCCTGGGACTCCAGATCTTGATGACAGATTATCCCCTAAAATATTATCTTCAAAACCAGCAGGGAAGTTAAAGTCTGGTCGACTGTTTTCTTCCTTTAACACAAGAAGAAAAATAGCATTATTTTTTTTGTTTAGTACTTCTAGATCTATTGTTTTACTTCCATCTTTACTCTAAAAATTAAATAATTAAAGTAGCAGATTAAGACAAAATCTTGATGTAAAGATATATATATATTTTTTTTTTTACATATAAGATACATTTAGGCAGTCTCCCCTGAAAGAGTAGATATTGAACAAAACAGAAGGATATTGGAAAAACATTTTGACAGTTAGAATACTCAGCTGATGATCAAATTCAGTGACAAATGTATTTTCTTCATGACAGGAGAAACAAGGGAATTATGCATAAATTGTGTTATGGAAGACTGGCACTTCACAAAAGAAGAGGAATTATCAGGAAAAGAATAAAGGTCTGAGTTCAATTCTGAGGAAAGATCTTAAGATAGAAATGAAATATACCAGTAGATCCAACAGTGACACAGTCACTAAGACACACAGGAAGCTATAAAATAAAACAATAAAGATACTAAAAAAACAGGAAGTTGTGGTAAGAAAGAAAAAATAAATAAATAAAAGTTAAAAATAAATTAAGGGGATTATGATGTGCCCTTAACGAAAATTCTAAGGAACAGATCAATAAAACAAAGATACCCAGGAAAACCTAGCTCATGGGAAAAAAAAGTACACCAGTTGAGTTTTCATTGTCTTAGGCCAAAAAAGTGAAGAAAAATCTTTTCTACATTTAATAGAAAAGATAGTAACATCAGTTACATTTGTTTAAAGTAGAAATAAAGCTCAACAGCTGTTTCCTCTCTTCTCATCTCTTATGGAGATAGGGAAAAGAAGAAGAATTTGAAAAAGGAAACAAGAAGCTGTTGAAACAGCCTGAAGAGAGAAGACAAACTCTTAGAGAGCAAAACACCAGATAAAGGGGTTAATCAGATCAAAACAGACACATCAGATTTAATCAGATTAAAACACACACACACACACACACACACACCAAGCGCGCTTACATAGGAACTGCAACATTTTCTTTCAAAATACCTGAAGACTCTTATCCAGAGCTCATGCTGTCCTTTACTTCTTTCAGCTTTAATACTATTTAGGAAGTAGCACTCTAACTTTGTCTACCTTAATTTTTCATATTGAAAAATACTTGCCTCATCATCTGAGTAGTTATACACCGAAGTTACAACTCCCCACATCTTACTGGCCACATTAGCAGCCTGTTTCATGCCTGATTTCAGAACATCCATTTTTGGTCCAGACAGTATATTGTCTAACTTCAGATTGGATAAAGTCGTTACAACTGATCCTAAGGAGCCATGTGGAGAAGAACGACCCAGTCCTGTCAAAGATGAAGAGCGCTCCTTTTGAACCCGTGGATGCATTTGTTGTTTTGGTCGCCCAGTAAATGTCTTGGATCTGGAGACAGAAGGACTTCTGCGATTTTCATAGGACTCAGACGATGGTGGTATGGAATCCAAAGGCAGGCTTGACCTCCGCTCCTGGGAGTGACCAGGTGTACCAGGGGCTTCTACTTCCCTACCTGGCTTGTGCAGTTCCATGCTGGGAAACTTACTGCCTAGTGGGTTCTTGAGATTCATATAGCTTTCTATTTCATCTGCCAAATTGCGTGCTGCAACTGGTGACACCAGCTTTTCCTCTGGTTCAGGGAGTCTTGGTTGGATGCTGTCAGTAGCCAGCAAAGATAAAGGATCCAAGCCTACTTCAACATCTTCCCTTTCGATAGGCTTAACCACTCCATAAAAGCTATTCCTTTTAGGAGTTGCATCTTTGGATTCTGTTTTCTGTTTTTTGGACTCAGCTAACTGTTCAGTGTTCACTTCTTCCACATTGGATGCATTTTCATCTCTTCCGTTCTCAAAATGCTCCTGCCCTTCCCCAGGTTCTTCTAGCACTGGTGAAGTTCTGTGCTCCAATTCCCAATCACTATCAGTCACATGACTCCAAGAGCCACCTTTGCCAGACATCTGCTGGTCAACAGCACTATCAAAACTGTGGGATTTATTCATATGACAAGGTGAAGTTTTTGCTCCAGATAAAGCTGCTGTTAAAATCTTGGCATCTGCTCCCATCATTATCGCTATTTCTTTAGAATGCAAGTCCAAGCTCCCTTTTTTCAGCAGCATTCCTGCCCTGCTTTCACTGCTGAAACTGCAGCTTCTCTCTGAAAACAGCTTCTGCCTCTTCTGTCCTTTTTCACTCATTTTCTTTGTAGAAACATCACCAAAGACTACATCTTCAACTGAATCCTGAGTTATGAATAGCGGGCTTGAAGCAGTTTCTAGAAGAGAAAAGGCATTGCATACGGTATACATAGCCATCAAGACTGTTTCTTTCCTGAAGTTATGTGGCCTCCTTATCACTGAGAAGACTGGGGGTACCACAAATCTCAATGTATCAATTAAAAAGTTTAACTCTGATACTATTAAGTTATTTTACTGGCTGCAAAGGCATTCAGCAGATGAAAAATCCTCTACTCTTTTTGACTCTCTGAATGAAAAGTTTTCTGGCTTCTACCTCCCTTCCACATGCCACCTCAGAGCAGAAAGTAGGTACTACATCCATGAATGAAGAGAAATTATAATTAAAGATATACTTCATTTTTTTCTCTCCCCCAGAGCTACGTTCACAGATGTATACATCAAACTTCATAGTTCATTCAGGTTCTGAATATAAGTATCATGTGTGTGCACAACACAGAAGCGTACTTTTGCTTATGACATATACATATGTGAAAGAACATAATATCTTACACATACTGAATTTAGCTAATCCTATAAATGTTCCTGTTTACCCAGGGCAATATATGCCTAGAAAGCTGTGTTACCCAGGCAAAAAGGCTGACCTTAATTATCTCTGTAAGGAGGGTATTTCTATGAGGATGCCAACAGAAGACCAGATGCACCATATCCACTGCTTGAGAATGTTTGAATCTGATATTGATGCTGCTTCTTGACAACTCATTAGTTTTCATAATGGTCAGAAAGGTTCTGAGTAAGTTCTTGTCTGAGACTTATAGCTCTGCTATCAAACTACATGCCAACTGCCCTCTTAAAAGTCTCTGCTGTTTTGTCCCTAATCACTGAAGCTGAACTACATTACCTTAGTTAAGGACAGGCACAAAGGTAGGGAAAAAAATATGTGCCCCAATATTTGGATCTCATATATCCTTGTCTTCCTCATCATAAAGATCCAGAGATGTAAATAAATTTTATATGTCACAAAGAAGATGTGTACTGTTCCCAGATTATACATTGGCAGCAATTATATAATTATACATAATTATATATCCAGCCACTGGATATATAATAGAATCATAGCCATATATGACTTGTCCAAGATCAGTGAGGTTTAGGTGACCAAAAGTCAAGAGTAGAGACCCTAATTCTCCTGTTTTTCTAGTATATTACCAAAATACACTCAGTATAGTACAAGAAAAATCTTGATTTCAATCTACTCAACACTAGTAATTTTCAACCTTAGAGTCCACAGGTTCTTTTTAAGGCACCTAAAAACAATAATGGTGGGAAAAAAAAAAGATAATGGTGGAAAGCAAATGTTTTGTAAGACATAGAATCATAGAATATCCTGAGTTGGAAGGGACCCTTAAGGATCATCAAGTCCAACTCTTGACACCGCACAGGTCTACCCAAAAGTTCAGACCATGTGACTAAGTGCACAGTCCAATCTCTTCTTAAATTCAGACAGGCTCGGTGCAGTGACCACTTCCCTGGGGAGCCTGTTCCAGTGTGCAACCACCCTCTCTGTGAAGAACCCCCTCCTGATGTCAAGCCTAAATTTCCCCTGCCTCATTTGCACCTCTTTTTTTTTTTTTTATTCCATTAAATAGAATCTCAGAGGTTAAAAACATTAAGCTCAAGACTTCAAGAAGATCTTTTTCACCCAGTGACTCACCACCACTGTTTTTCCTTCCACTGCTATCGAAAATGCCAGATGGAACTTTGACGATACTGTTACCCCAGGAAGGTGTGTCTGTTGGACTATGAGTCTCTACATTCAGCTGCTTATTTTCATCAGATTCCTGAATGCAAACCTCTAAAATAAAGAAAATGTGAACTTCAGTTAATTTAACTAAATAACTATATTTACACTGTTATTGAAAACAAGTAATCAAGCACTGTTCCCTTACACAGCTACAATCTAAAGAATCAATCCTACCAGGTACCTCCAGCATTTCCTGGAAGTAGTATCTCGTGAGATGACAACAGGTGGTATTACAGAGAAAGCGTGTAGCTATTCACAAGGTTATGGCATGTGCCAGCTTCATCCTTTGGTATATTTTTAGCTAACCAAAGTAGAGCAGTGACAGCAGTTCTCAGGGTTTTTTTTTTTGTTTTGTTTTTGTTTTGTTTTTTTTTGTTTTGTGCAGGGCTATTTGTTTAATGATAACATCAGAGACCCTAATAACAAAGATATGAAATAGACTCAGTAATGAAAAACAAAATACAGAAGAACTAAGAACAAAATCTGAGAAGAAGACAGGAGATGATCATATTTCCTACAGTGGGGATGAGCTTGTAGGAGTAAATAGTGCCTCTTATTAGGCTAACTGGTACAGCTTTAAAAATGTTCATGTGTTTAAATATAAAAATTAGACTAACAGAATATAAAATACTGTATGCCCTACCGCATCTCCAATTTTTTGATCTATATGAAGTTGGTCAAATAAAAGACTATTTTTATGTAGATATATTCCACTGTTATTATCTAGTATACAGTAGAAGTCCAGCAGATTCTATCATGCTGAATTTTGACCTTGACAACATTATGAATTCAATGCATTAGTTATTTATGGTAGTCTAATGGATGAAGTAATTTTATTTTAAAAGTCTTCATCAATATAAACATGAATACTTAACCTTCTATTAGCTCTTCAGCTTTAGAAGAAATGTCTGTCTCCATTTGTGTTTCAGTTGCAAGAAGACTATCTCCGTCATCCTTTAAAAGTTCATCCTTGGATCCATAGCCCTGGTCTGACTGACCACCTGTTCAAAAGGAATGCAAACACTTGCCTCCAACTTCCTTTCTAAATTTTTTGTTTTTCAGTAAGAAAGTAAGTTATTTGCACTGAAATTCATTCTTTCATTCTGTTTTGCCACAAAAGTTCAGGGTGAGAATCACCAAAATGTCTCATCTGTGTACAGATCTACTTGGTGATGTTGACAGCAGAGACAATTAGAGTTTTCAATGCAAATTTTCTTTTAAAATTTACATTATATTATTGTGATATTACAAGTGTTATCCCCCCTGAATAGTACAGTGACTAACTAATTTTTCTGCAGTGTATCTCCCTTCATTCCTTTCCCCTTTCATTAACATCAAATATTTCATTGCTGTGCAAGCTAAATTCTCACATGATCTACAAAAGGAAGTTACACATGTACAACAGTAATTAAGTCAGCTTCTAACAATGAATACATCCATGAAAACTATTCTGCTATAAATTGTGCTATGTCTTTGTGCCAAAGTACAAACTACAGAATGTAACAGAAAAAAGCAAAAACATGTATTTTAAAAGAGGTGTTCCTCCATGATAGCATTTACACTTGGTATCTATAACTCATTCTTTGAAAAAGTAAATTTTTTTTTCAAAAAAATCTACTAAAGAAACAATCAAAAAGCACTCTTTTTTGTTAACTTTTATCATAAGTGATGCTGTACATGCAAAAATACACAAATACTATAAGGGACATATCCCACAGCAGCATGTTAAAACATGCCTCAGCTTACCTATTACAATACCTGACAGTATTTAAAAAGATCGAAGTATATATTACTGAGTATTATATGAAAGGTATTAGAAGGCTCCATAAAACTTGAAAGACAGACGTTATTTATCTAAAGTACATATTATCACTTATTTTTACCAATGCAGAGCAAACAGACTTTTTAATTTAATTTTTCTAAGTGGTCATCAATAAACAAATTTGTCTAGTGTGTAAGATAACCTTTCATACATATAATTCACTCTGACATTCTTTGGTCCTTATTTTCTCCCTATCATCAATTCAGTGATGTTAGTCTCTGTAGTTTGCACTGTAGTGAAAATATCCTATCAATAAATGGGCAAATTACCTGCAGAAGTAACATTCAAGGGTAGAATTAAATCACACGTGCATCCAAGGCTTCACACCATATAAAGTCTGCACCCCACACCATGATAGTCAAGGACAAATGCAGCACCCGAGAGACAGCAAAGAACAAAAAGCAGAGCAACAAAGAGCAGAAAGAAGGAAAGTTCAGTAATCTAGGCAGGCATATCAGATGAAGAACAGGAATCAGACTCAAAGTTATCTTTAAAGGAGGACTTGAGATATTAAATATCATGAAGAGTGTGTAAGAACCATTTGTACAGTAAGTGTTGAGGTAAACAGAAAGGAAGCTTAGTTGAGACTGTGCATAGGTAATATGTAATCAGTACTAAGGCAGACACTAAGAACGATGAGTTTTGTATTGCCATCTCAAGTAGTTAACTTTCTGTGTGCTCATTTCACTCCAGTTTGGCCTAGAAGAGTGCATGCCACATTCAGTTTTTCCCCAGCTCATCAACTGTCTTTCCATCTGTACAGGGTGTCTTATGTGTGGTTCTGATCATTTTTGTATTCTTTCTCAAATCAGGAAAACACTGGTGAAAAGCCTGAATATGGCTTTTAGAAGCACAGTTTACTATGACCAAAAGTGACATACTAATTCTAGAAATGCAAATTAGACCATCCCGGATCAAAAGATGATCAATAAAGAGCAACATTTCAAAACATTAGCTTCTAATCACCTCAGCAACTTTCACTCTTTTCCTTTAACACTGATGAAGATTTTACTCATACTATTCATTTCTACGAATAAATAATAATATGCAGAAATCAAGACTTATGTCAGAGGCTTTATACCTTTTATAACAACTAGCACAAAAAGTAAAGTTCATGACACCACAGCAAGACATTTAGCTTAAGAGTACTTCTGCTACTGTTCACTCTAAATTATAGAAGCTGCATGAACTGTGGTAAAGCAGAGACTGTATTTCTTCACATAGATCAACTCCATGCTTCATTCTCTACAGCCTCAGGAGGGGAACATGGTGGCAGTGGAGGGGAAATCAACAAGAAAACAGAAAATTTTTGCCTTTTGGGGGACTGTTAGTAGTGAAACCCAGCAGAATCTAGTACCTGTGCTAGAGTGATTATCATTGGAATCAAGCCTGACTAAGTCACTGACGAAGAGAGTGTGCTCCCCACTGTTAGCATCATTAGAACTATCCACGCTACCATGGCTCACCATGTCCCCATCACTTCCACCCGTGGTATTCCGCAGAGCTAAAGACATGAATGAGAGCTGGTTAGTAAGAGAGGATTTAAAATTTCAGGTTTTCAAATACATCTAGCCTCTTCAGACAACAGTAAATATTTTTGCTTGCACATATAAAATGAGAATATGGAATTACAGCAACAGAACTTAGACAACTCATTCTTCAGCATAGGAAAAGACATTGTAAGACAAACAGTCTCAGCATCAAGCATCAAGTTGACTATTATCAATTTATATACATTTAAGAAGGGTTTTCTACTTGTAAAAGCCAGAATGTTAGGTGCAGTCCTTCAGAAAGCAAATCATGCTCTTGTTCAGCAGAAAAATTCATTTCACCTAACTTATTACCTGATATCACAGGTACTCGTGGGCTCTGCGTTGCTTTCTTTAGGCACTGCCTAAATTGTGCTGTGCCGCGAACTACATTTCGTACCTTTGTCCACAGAAATATGCCACTGCGGTTACTGCTAGGCCAAGGAGACTCTAAGACTGCCTACAGAGAGAGACATTGCAATAACAACAACACAGTAACAAATTTACACTAAGAAACACAGTACAGTGAGAAGCTTCTCTTTCCGTACTCAGCAAAGGACATTTCCTGCCAACACTGTGAAGCAGGACAAGTATTAGAGTTTTAGCTGTTCTCTTTTATCCTACAGCTGTGGATACACTGGCTGAGTGGCAAATGACTATGCATCAAATTTTCCTTAATTAAACAAGATGAATCTTATTCATCTGATTAGTGTATGGTAGGAACAAAAGACCATAGTAGAGACTCTTCTCCAATTACTTTTCATACTTTACTATGAATTTCCATTAGAAAATTACAGAAACATGGAAGCAAGGAAAGCATGAGGCAGCTACTTCAACTAACCTAATCCCAACCTTCATCACTCATGGATCCTGCTACCTTAAAGGATACAACTAGGAAGAGATGGCTGTGACATGGAAATAACTAGACAGCTTCCAAACCTTGGAAAGGAAACACTAAATGTATTTCAACAGAATTGTCGGTTAGACAAACAGCACAAGAATGTAAAAGTAAAAAATGTAAAACCATACACTGTACATCAAGTCAAGTGTAAACTTGTCTGAACTGCTGGCTTGCCCAACAGAAACAGCAAATTCAACTGAAGAGCTGTAATGAACAGTCTTCAAATCATGCCATAGAATAAAGGGAATAAAAAAGTAAGTGAGACATTGGTTCAGTATCTTTTGCCAAAATTTCTTTTACCTTATTGTAATAGCCGTAAGTGATAGCATTTGGCTGTATTCCAGCATTTTTCATTTCAAAGAGGACTCTCACGGCCTGAACAGGCTGACCCCACAGTCCACAGAGTTGCATCACAACTCTGTAGCACACCTGACAAGATACAAAAGTCCACAGATTAACAGATGACAAGGATTTTGAAACAGTTTAAGCTCTTCCCAAATTTCACACAAGTAAAAGGGAAAGCCATATGAAAGCAGCTACTCAACCAACAGCCAGAAGAGGGAGCAAAAATTCAACAGGAAACTACACAAGCTGAAATAACACCAGGAGTCACACACAAGTGCTTATTTTTTTTTCCCCACTTGGCTTTTCTGTTTGCGAAATAAAGGAGGGAAGGAAACACCCACGCAAAAAAGTGGGATAACTTGCTTCTTTGTGTTTGCGTATACTACTGCAAGAATGGAATGCTGCACACAAATCCATTATCCCTTCACTTCAGTATGACTGCAGAGCATTAATTCAAAGCACATTTTAAAAACAGAGATATTCAAGAACTGCCTTCTGGAAGAAGTCTGGGAGAAGATGAGCGACACTAAGTTGGATTACATGAGTAAGCTGACACTATGTCAATGATAAGAAAAAAAAAGAAATATTTCTAGTTGTCTTAGTTGGGCAGACTTCTGTAAGACCATTTTGATGTAGCTTTAAAACAGGTCAGACTGTGAGAATGCTTAACCTGCTGTTGGTGGTGAAACACACTATATCTGCACTTTGTCTTCTGCTCTGTGTTCATGGTAATGATATTTTATACAGACTTGCCTCATCTAGTGGTTCCACGTCAGTTTTCCTCATTTTAATTAGAACATCATATGCCTGCTGCAGTGCTTTGACCTTGGGATGTGCAACTCTGATGTAGGCTGGCAGACAAATAAACCATAAGCTGTAACTGTGACTGTAGAGACATTTAGCCCACTGTGGGGGGCTTACATAATACTTCTTGGCTAACTTATGGGCTGTTTTTATTTCCTGTAAGGGTGAAAAAAAACAAAGATGACAAAGGTGAACAACCAGAGCCTAGAAAACATTACTAATTCAGATACTAAGCTATTAAAAGTAGGCATTTAGTAACAATGGACAAACACTAAACTGCCATTCTATTCTTAGCACCCTCTTTTGAAGGTTCTCCACAAACAAAAAATAGCATCTGAATTATGCCTTCCCCCCATTTTAAGCATTCATTTTAATTTCATTTTGTTTTATATCATGGCCTGAAGTTTAATGACTAGTTTGACTGTAAACTTTTATCTCAGATGCTAATCTTTTGCTTTCCATTTCTTTTCCTGGCAAGTTTTGCTTCCCGATAGTTACACATAGACTCAGTCTCCAACAAAGTAATTTGTAGTATAAATATGCAGCAGTAATTTTATCAAAGCAGCTTATTATCTTTCAGTATTCACACGGTGATTATGGTAAGACTTATCTGACCTGTTTTGTCCTCTTTGCCATGAGTGCTGGACTATTTGAAATGCTGCTTCCAGCTGGGTGTCTGCTGAAGGAGAGCTTGAGTTCCTGAGGCCTGTCAAATAGCTTGAAATCTAGTCGTGGAAAATTTTTGTAGCTACATAGATAGATATATATATAAAAAAAAAAAAAAAAAAAAAGTAGGGAAAAGCTTTTTATGTATCTGCTGATACCAGGAAAGCCTTACAAAGACAACTTGCATGCAAAGAACTGATAAACAGGAAAATAAAGGAACCAGGGGATTTATATGTATATTTATAACATGATCCTTCTAGTCCTGTTCACAAAGATATCACAAAAAAGAAGCAGCCTTGGACATTAAATCCCAGTAGACCATGGATATAAGAACCAGACCACCATCCACACCACGTAGGTCTGGGAAGCACTGATGATAATTACTAACAACAACAGCTGGAAACAAACTTCTTTGCCTCCAAGAAAGAGCAAGAAAAACATAACCACAGTGTGTGCAACTCCACACTTCCTGCATAGGGCTGAAAAACACCGAATGGAAGAAGTCTGAAAATTGGAAAGGGTGTTTTTTTCTTTTGGTTCATGAGTTGCAGATCAATAGTACTGGGCAAATCCATTACCCACCCCCTGTCATTCCTACCCTGGAATGAAGACAGTTCCTACAAAATCTACGTAAATGGCTCAAGGAAAGATAGACATTAAATACACGTAGCAAAGCATTACTACAAAGTTGGCAACTAAAAACTACAACCAAAAGCTTACTAAAAACTACAACCAAAAACTTGCCCTCAAACATGCCCACACAACATACTTACAGGCCTTGAGAAACTTACTGGAGTCCAGGCAGATCACATCTTTTTAAAGATGTCCTTACCATTTATTAAGGTGAGTCTTGTGCCAAGCTGAAATATCTGCCCTGCTCAACATCATAAGTGTTCTAATACTCCAGTTTCTCTACGTTAGTTGATTGAACTGTACCTGTATTTTGGTGCTCGGTCTTGTCCATCATCAGGGGGAGGTTCTGGCGGCATTACAAACACTGTGTGTTCACTTTTTTGTGACTCATCAAGCTCAATCAGCCGTGCATCTTCAACAGAATCTACGTCAACCTGAAAGGAGAGTTTGTAATCTGAGTCCTGAGTTTAGCTTTGGGATAAAATGCACATTTTAATATTAATTATATTAAAATATATGTTAAAATACACTGTTTCTGTTCTTGATTTTATACATTATGTGTAAGCACAATATATAAAATGTATCATATTTGTTATCAATGCTCAAATATCAGTTCTACAGCCCTGTCTCTTCACTTCTTTACACAGTAAATTATCTCTGAACATACTGAGGGTCAAAATACCTTGTCTCCTTTTTCTGTTCCTTTATCTGGAAAGAGCTAGGAAAAGAGAAAAAAAAATCAGAGCTTATTCTCAATGGAAAAAGATCCTAAATAATTCTATTACAGCCATGTGTTTTACTGAAATATTAAATAAGTAATACCAAGTATTCAATCTACTCTGGAAGCACTTTCTTTTTCAAATACCTTGCTGAAAGCAAGAAGTTATCAGAATGCTTTCAATCTGTTGACGTTATGGACTAAATACAAAACCTTAAATCTATTAAAGAAGCTTTAACTTAATTGAAAGAAACTGTTTTTTGCATATATTTTCACTATGACAATTTAAGTATGCAACACATTAATAACTTGCAATTACTTTAAGTTATCAACATTACTAAACAGAGCATAGTCTAGACACATACTGTAGTTGCACACCCCGTACTTGGCATATAGAAAAATAAAGGCAAGGATACTGTGAAACTTTTTTTTTTGCGATCTGCTTTAAGTGGTATTTTGATTGGAAACGATACTGAATCAACAAGTTATTTGCACAGCTTAGTGCAAAAATCAATGTTCTGTCCAGAAGGGATCACACATATGCACATAGAAAGTATATAAAAACCGCTAGCTCCGAAATTTTATCTTGTGAACCTGTCATTTTTAAGATGAAGTCATAAACCTAATAACCTATGTAGCCTAGAAACATGCTGAAGTCTTGGCTTCAAAAAAACATGAATGGGTTACAACAATCTTTCTCATATGAAATACATGCAATGAAATGAAGTCTTATCTTTGTAAATCAGTTTTGACCACAAGTCTGAGCACTAGGCATATTTTTATGCTTAAAGTTTTTCATGTGAAGTTTGTCATGTGAAAAAGAACACCACAGATGGCAGTGGTAGATAAGTCTAAATTAGAGTGAGGCAGATTACTGTTTAAAAAGGAAGATATAAACGACATTGTGTTAAAGTGTCATGAACTGGTACTTTTCACATTCTCTTACAGCTTGACATCCTGCAGGGCTTTAATGACAGACTCCTATATTAACACAGAAAACGATGACCATGCAAGAAGACAAAGGAAGAATATAATTCAGCAATAATAACCAAAAATTCCAGTCCCTCACACTTGTGACAGAGGGTAGCTGCCTTCAAAAGTAAAAGGCAGGACAAAAAAAAAAAATAGAAGCATATAATTTAATTTAGTATGTTTTTCACCTTTTCTATGCAGTCATCAAAAAATGCCAAGCCAGTATCCTTGTCACTCACAAAACTGCACTCTTCAATAAAGCTGCTGAATATCTGCGTTTTGGTGAGATGCGTGTAGAACTTCGTATAGGCACGGTCTCTACTTTTCAAAAATCCTGATTAGAAAAAGAAACACAGAAGTAAATACCAGTTACAAGTTCCATAAGAAACTAAAATGTAAAAGTATTAACATAATCATTTACAGTGCAAATATATAAAACATTGGCTTTATTAGTAAAAACAACTACTTATCACTTGCATTCAGAAGATTAAAATAAACTTGTTTATGTAAGATTTCTACCACAAAGTTAACAATACATGGCATGCAATCATCCCCATGTTATCACAATCTGTTTGCTGATTTGTTGACATATTATGGACAAAAAAGGAGAATGTGACCTCATTCATTAAATGCAGAAGCATTTAACATTTTAGACAGTAATAAAAAAAATCCCCTTCCACTATTCTAGAAGTAAACATTTATGATTTTTCAAGTGTTTAAATAAGAATCCCATTTCAAATCTCTCTTCTAGATAATTTAAAACAAAACCAAACAAAAAAACACTAACCAAAAAAAAAACAACACAAAATACCCACACACACACATGCACAAAAAAAAAAATAAAAAAGCAAACAAACAATCAAACAGACAAAACAAGACGAGCCACCAGTGACATTCTATCTGGCATTCAACTGATGAACAGATATGAAAAAGTCAAGGTGATATGGTAAGTGATAAAGTGAAAAAAATAAGATGACCTTTACCAACTACTGTTTTGTTATGTTTCTGAACTCTGCCCAGTACTCTTTTATTTTCCCATTTATATCAAAAACATTATTTTGCTCTTCATCAATGGGCTTCTGCCATTTTTGCTCCATACAAATTGAGAAATATTCTTTAATTCCCAAGAAGTGCCCTTACAGAATGTGCCAAGAGAAGAAGGCATCCCCCTATTGAAAGACAATTTTTCTAATATCAGAGTTGTTACAAAACGGGATTCTATTCGTGTGTATCAATATTCTAATCAACTTCAAACAGCTTCATTTTATATAACTGCAATTCCAAATATTGCCAAGAGTTGCACCAACGGAAAATTTGGGTTAACTCCAATACGATCAGTAATTTATTTCTCTTAACCTCACCTTGATGATCAAACAACGAATCAGCAGCAGTTGCTTTATTTGAAGGTGCCTGAGTGATTGGTTTGAGGAACGTTCTGTAACCCTTTAAAATAGATGCCATGAAACGTAGAAAAGCTTCCTGGATCTCCATCTCAAGTTCTGTCATCTTCTTCTGCCAGGAGAAATCTGCCTCGATAGGAGTCATCTCCACTGCTGAGCCTTCTGGCGTTTTCTTGTGAACTAGCAAACAGCAATATACACAATCCTGTATTAAAATGCAGCATAGTTGAATAGACAACATTTGCAAGATATTGAATATGGTTTTTTTTTCTTTTTTATTTCCCATCTTTAGAAATTACCAACACTGTAAATAAGTTCTCTTCTTGTCCTGTTATTACCTTCCAATTGATCTGGCCCATATAAAGAGTAGTTATTTCAGGAGTTGCTTATGTGTTTTTCTAACTTATCAAGGCCTCTGACCTGAGAAAACGAGCATTACCTTAACTGAGATTTTGCTATCACATTCCCAACTAAACTTTGTCTTTCAGTAACAGGTCAACACAAAGGATTCTGTTTTCCCTGTTCTGCTGATTACTTAAGATTGCACATTGAGGAAAAAAAAAGTGCTTTAAACTATTTTTCCAGTGACAATTTTAACATTTTTGTATACCAAAGGATGGAAAGAAGCAGACGACAAAGAGTTTATTCTTGGACTCAGAAAACAACAACAACAAAAAAACTAGCAGGTACTGCTTCACCTTTGAACACACAGTTACAGATTTTTTATTATAATATAAATGTAAATAGTAATATAAAATAATACTGTTGAAATGGGAATTCAGTCTGCAGCATTTACACATTAAGTAGAGTATCATGCCCTGCTGATAAAACCAAAAACAAAACAAAAGTTGAGGTTTTCTAACAGTAAAGGCAATCTGGAAAAAAAAAAAAGAGGAAAGAAAGAAAGGAAATTAAGGCAAGAAAGCCCAACTCCTAATTAATGCATTTTCTGTTTTCATAGTTTACCAACTTTTTTTTTTTTATTTCTGTTGTATACCCATGAAGCTATCATTGTCTCCTTTATAAATACACAACTGAACATACTCTGAACAAGATTGTCTTAAAGATCCTGTCTACAGATAGATAGAAGATATACCTGCAGAATAATTTAGTTACAACTCTGTTCTTACCTTTCCAAGCCATTAGTATGATGGTCAGTTTTTCCTCTTCTTTTTGAAAAAAATACTTTCAACATTTTGCTACTGGATTTTCTTTTGTAGAAAAGTCAGTACCTGAGATATTCAACTATATCTGCACAATACCTGGAGTATTGTGCAGTATCTTACTCAAACACTTATTTCCTTTATTATTTTTGATCAGAACAATGAACATTGTTTATGCTGAGACCCAAATGTGTTTCTGTTGAATCTTTGTTTAAATATAACTTAATCGTTACTAAAGGCTGAAAATTCCCCACTTTGAGGAAGTGACAACAAAGAAAAAAGTCTAAAAAGATTTACACCACGTTACCAAGAAGTCCTTACATTTATACACTACTTATAAATTATAAGACCTGTAGATGTGTATCAGAAAATTTAGTAGTTTTCTTCTAATATTTACTTTCCCTGCTTTAGGCGGTTTCTGTTCTTATCCCTTCCCATTTATTTAGATATTTCACCTGCTGCCAGCTGTGGGTGCAGTTTCTTTAAGGTGCTGAGCAGACTTTTACATGGCTTCTTAGGAAACTGCTTCCAGTTTGTGCTCTTCTTATCATCTGATCTAAAACACAGGGGAGGATAAAAGGATATATAAAATACAGACCATATAGAAAAGAATAGCTTCCATTGGCCTAAGTTAATTCATTTTCAGAAAAAGGAAATCATTTTGAAAAGAAACCTTGTCACTGTCCCTATTTGTCAAAAATAATAAATATAATAAAATGGAGTGACATTAACTCAGCACTTCATTTCCTCAGAAAAGAGCAGTATAAATTGACTTATGGGTAGTTTTCTCCATTCTGGAAGGAGGATCTGTATTGAGATCTGATTTAGAGTTTTTGGTTGAAGTTTCACATTGCTGAGTTTCTTTTCAGAATCTATACCAGTCTCACTAATATAATCTGAACACATTAATCTGTATATGGTTATTAGTTTATACTATTGTAAACTTGCTGTTCTGCTACTGACAAAAATAAAGGCTGTTTGCCACTACCACATGAAGTTAAATTCCTGTAAAATGCTGGAAGACCAGTCAAGCAGCTCTATGCTCATAAGCTTTACAGTCACTGTCATATGTCTATGACAATTAAGTTCCCAATTTCAGCTTCAATCAAAGGCTGCCAGGAATTAGGAAGATTGGAAATTCAGTTTACAATTTGGAAATTATGTGGTTGATTAAGTAATGGGATAAACTGGTCTGAAGGTATGCTCATCTTTGTCAGAGGAACAATGGATACAATGCCAGACCTCATTTAACAGATGAATATAGAGACAGAAGGGAGAGAATCACAAGAACTCCTAAGCTCATCATGGGAGAAAGAAAGTGGAACAGAATTTCCCTAATATGGTGTAGAGCAAACATTGATGCCACAAGACCTAATCAGTTATTACTATTTCCGCTGATGCTGTCACTGTCACATTGCACTTAGCATCAGTAGAACTGTTTGCTCAGTTGGCACAGACACATAGCTTCCTTAAGGAGGAAGTATACATTAAATGTATTAAAAAAATAAATAAATTAATGAATTAAAAAATAAAAATAAAAATGCATGCTTGCAGATATCATCTCCTTTTTTTCCCACCACAAAAGCATGCCTATAAACAACATAAGCAGTACTGTTCCAAAAACGCAAGAAAAAAAAAAATTACATATAAAAAAAACTCTCAAATTTGCACCCAAAAAGGCTACTTCCCTTAATGAGCTTTTGATGTTACTTTCACAGAGATGGTTGAAAACATCCAAGAAAAGACTTTAAGGAAGATGCTGAATGAATAAAAGACATTCAGTAGTTTTGGCAGTAAATGAAGTTTTAGTCTATCATAAGGAAGATACCAGCAAACTTGGCCTAGAAAGATGCCAGTCAGGCAGATTGATGTACTAGGAAACACTGATTTTTTCAGATGTTATTCTTCTACTATGCAGAAATATTTTACCTACATGCAGAAGTTTACCTACATATCTCCAAAATGGAGAAGTATCCTCATTTCCAGGTTAAAAAAAAACAAAAAAAAAACCTCCAAGTTTCATAATGCAGGTACCAATATCTCTCATTTACTTGAAGTCAAATGTTGAAGATGTTCAATTCCTCTTACAGTCAAGTAAATAGCATAGATTAAATATGTCCAAAATGGACAGCAAAAGACAAAAAGATCAGTTAGCCACTGAAACAGAAAAGGACTTAAAAGACACTAAAGGAAAAGGTGCCAGAATCTTTTCAGTTGGAGACAGATAAGACATCAGCCACTGGTAGATTTTTAGTTCAGTAACTAGTAGCCGACTTTATCTATGACTCATTCCAACAGAATCTTTACTGTCTCCTTTCTCCGCTAAATCTACTGTCCTACTCCAATTCTTTATTTTTTTTCAACCCAGACATCAATTTCCATTCTTCTTATGAAAAAAAAAAAAAAGACATTTTTCATTGCAAAAGGTATCTTCACATAAACAAGTTATCTTCCTTACATTTCTTTCACACATAATTATTCGTTTGATGGCATAATACCTTACATACAATGATGAAAATGTTTTTTGCAATGTTTTTATTGGGGACCCAGGAGAAGAAGAAAAAAGGGAAATAAAAAATATGATATGAATACAATCTACTCTGTTGTTTACTCTTTTCTTTGATGCTACTAATCACACAATACATTTCAATAATTTAAAGGAAGCATTTGATTCAGTAGGGCATCATAGGAAGGGTCCTTTTTACACAATGAAAAGCATGAAAGCTTTCAAGTGACCCATAGATCAAATGACTAATTTTGATTCGAGTTAGTGAAAATGAAAGCAGGAGTTAAAGCAACACGAGATGATTTAAGACTATATTTTCACACAGAAGAGACACGCATTATTCAGTGATGTTCACCCTCAGATAGCTTACATCCCTCTTTCTACTTTTGATCTATTTACTCTAAATGGAAAAGATTATTTATAAATTTAATAAATCATTTTCAAATCAGGTATTTACAATCCCATTTAGATTTATCACAGAAGAAATTAATTCTAGATTAGCCTTTCCTATAGAAGTTGTAAAGAAACCCTTCATGCAACACTTTATTTAAGACAAGCACTCAAAACATAATTAAATGAAAATATTTTAAAACAAATACAGACAATACAAAAAGTTTTACTTGACTGATCTCACTGAGAAGTCAGCTCCTGCAACTTAAGCAATTATTTTTATTTCATTACACTAACAAAAAATGTCCTGAATTCAAGACAGCTTCAAAAGCTTCATGAAGGGTCCTGAAACTCTCATGTTCAAACCCAATATTCAATGAACACAGGCAAATCAAATCCTGAAGTGGTGAAGCAAGGTGAAAATGCATAAAATGGTGGCACAATAAAAATAAACTGTTCTTCCTCTATTCTAGCTTTTGTCCCATTTCCTAAATAAGCAGTATGAGAAGTGAAGGAAAAAGAAAACAAACACACATTATCATTTCAAGCAACATCTGCAGCACATTATTTATTTTTTAATTTTATTGGCAACCCCTAAATGCTGACCCTTGACTTAGTGAATTTCAAGTCTCTATAAAGCATTAGAAGCGAGATGAAGAACAGAGGATAGGCAGAAACAAAACCATATTTGACAAAACAGTTTTTAAATAAAATTTGCTCTTTCTCAAGTAGTTCAGCAATTTCTCCATCTACAGATAGATATAAAAACCCCATAGAACTTACATGTACACCATGTTTGTGTCTAAGTCAATGCACACAATGTCCTGTGGTGGATCATACAGATCAAAATACCGTGAATCAACTCCAACAATAAATGGAACAGGTGCACTGAGTACGGTAGCCAGAGACAAAGGACATAGGGGGATATATGGACATTGCCACTGAAATGGAAATATCATCTGAAGGAAAAATGAAATGAAACCAATTCATTAAAACAGGACAACAGACCTTGTACAGCATAAAACAGGTAAGTTTGTTACATGCAGCAAGTTGAAATTAAATTGCTAGGAACCCTGTTACACTGTCAAAAAAGTGTCTTCAACTTTGATCACTTGTTTACAGGACATTTCTTACTTATCTATGCAAAAGCATTGATCACTTCAACAATTATAGTAATTAGACATGCTAGAGTGATTTAACTAAATGCCATTGCTAGGAAAAATATGATCATTTAATGCATCAATCATTTTAACTTATAAAATCCTCATAGTAATTATGGAGTTTCCAACATTTTCCCTTGCTGCTGTGCAGAACACCTTGTACTTACAGCTACTACAGCTTCAGCAACTCCTGTCAATACAGCTGGTCTAAGAGAATGAAGGAGGATCTTGCCTTCTAACAATACAAAGAGTAGCAGGGTGGCACAGTTTTCTGGTCCAAGATTCATGAGTAGAGTACTGAAGTCTGCTCCACTATGGGGTAAATGGAAAGGAGAGAGGGGGAAAGAATGTTACAGGATTTAAACATTAAAAGAGAGAGCGAGGCACTACTAAATTTCTGAGAGCTGTTTGGACCTACAAGTTGAATAATTCTTAGATATTTTATGTGTGGCAATAATAGTATTTAATAGCTAGCACCTCAGTGTGAGACTTGTACTGCAACACAAAAATGTAAATTCAAAAGTACTGTTACAGAAACATATGCCTTAAAATGCTACTGTGTGGTTTATGGCTCTCTCACTTATGCACAAGCAGCTTGTCTTCCTAACAGTAACACAGATCTAACTAGTCATCAGCTAATCCAAGCACAAAAAAACACTACTAGTTTCATAGGATGTTACCTCAAGCAAGAATAATGAATTACAGTATCTATTTTATCATAGTATCACTATTTTAAATTCTAGTACTAGTCAAGTAGAAAATAAATGAATAAATTCAGCATTCTCATACCAACATGCATTTAGTTTCTACAGTTTAATCTCCATTTCATTTCTTTGGAAACCATACAGGTATTTAGGAATTTTAATGATGTCTGTAAAAGTAGAAGAGGGGTGTAACATCTGTCCTTATAATGCTAATTACATGTTACTTTGCAGTTTGATGGCTAGCTGCAATTTTTCCCTGAAGTGGCTGAGCAGCAGCTGAGATTTAAACATTGTATCCTTTTGCATATACAATATTATATATGATAACATTTAAGGGAAAAAAATGTAAAGAAGGGTGATTTATTTATTTATTTTTTAATTAAAAGCAAAACCAAAGCAAACAAACAAAAAGTCATGTCATATTCATAAGGAACTCTAGCCTTGCAGGTGTTATTCAAAGAGACTGCATCAAGCCTCATTCACAAATATTTTAAGTTATAATTTTGGATTTTCAAAGTGTTTGTGCACTTGGGCATTTATTGATTTCACATAACTGCTTAACATAAATGTCTCCCTTGGAACCAAAAAGGGATAAGTAGCTCAAGATAACAAGAAATCTATCTATGGTATTTTTAAAAAAGTCTTTACTGCTTATATTCTAAAGATGGAAGATACTTAAATACATGTATTATTTCCTTACAGCCTCCTTTCTTCAGGATAATCAGTAATACTATTCTTTCATAAGGGACAGGTCTATGTCATAAAAACAACACTGTCTAATGTTTCAAATACATATTGAGCTTTCTGTTTATAAAATCTAATAATATTGAAATAGTGTTTGGCTTTCTTCTATGCTTCATTTCTATTTGTCTTGGGATGTCTTAATTACAATACGTTTAAAACATTGATAATGATACCTTAGTGGTAATGGTGTAGAAACTGGCTGAGACAATATTAATGCATCATGGGCAGAAAGCTGAAACACAAAATAATTCATGATTGGCAAGAACAATTCCAAAGTTAGTGAAGTAAAATATTCCAGTGTAACTACATATCCATAATATAATAAAATGCCTGGCAGACAGAGTCACAATGTCATGCAAGAAATGTGAATCAAAAAGGTTTGGAGCTTTTGTTCACTAAGTCAACAGAGCTTGTATTAGTCACCAAAATAATTCTCAGAAGTTACAAGAAACTGTTTATGACTCATTGTTGAACATGTAGCTACTGCTAGGTGGTTAAGCAGAGATCACAAGAGACTGCCCCAGGGGACTAACATATGAACCACAGTAGTGGACAAGTGAAAGAACGGTAGAAAACAACCCCCAGTGGCACAGCGCAAATGACGTCCATAAAATGAAAGACCAATATAAGGCAGAAATTTCAAAAATGCAAGTAGGATGCTTCTGCAGTCTGTACCACACAAAATCTGAAATAGCTTCTTTTGCTAGGTTAACCTGGGTTTATATCCATGTAAGAGAAGGCTATTCCACCCATCTCCTCCCATCTCCCTTCCAGCAGCTGGATATTCAAAGCTGAGTAAAAAACCTAATAGAAGAATCCAGGCTTTCAAAGGCGAAAAGGAGTATTATGATAACTAAAAATGAAAGTAGATGTTTTGCCTACCTGCACGAGAATTCTTGGCCTTTGTGGTGAAGGGAAAGGTATATTGTGCATAAAATGGGATATGTGCCTGAACAGAAGATAAGATGTTAGAAAACCAGCACTGAGAACAAACAAGGACTGAAAACAATGTCACATTTTGGAATTTGTACATCCCATATGTTACAGAAGTACAATGTATTTACTGTTTTGATAAGTTTAGGAGCCTGTTTACACAAACTGAAAGAAAGAAGCCTCACTCGCTCACATTTCACGAGTGAAAATTAATAGTGGCAGCTTCACATATGCATGGAAAAGGTAAGAACACACTGGCCATGTAGGCAAATCATGTAAAAATCTCTGGTAGACAATCTTCATGTTACACAATTTCTCATCAGGCTTAGCTAGGAGAAAGTATACTTAGCTACCAGAAGTCTAATGCAGTTTTGAAGATAAGTTTTCAATGAATATGTGGTTTTTTTTGAATCCCTTACAATGAAAAGCATCCTCTATAAAGTTCATATTTTTATACATACATATATATGGGGTGGGGAAGCCAGGAAGGGAAAGGATTGAGGAAGCAGAAGGTAGAGGGAGTGAAACAGAATTCATCTGCAGTTGTTGCAGCGCTTCAGTATGGACACATACACACTGCTAATGAAAAGAGCCCCTGTGCTTACATTTAATAACTTAAAACACAGGACTGCAAGCACTGGCATGTCTCTTACAGCTCAACCATTTTCTGTGTCTAACAAGTTTAAAAGGAAGTTACACAGGCTTGAAAAATTTTAACAGAAGAGCAATGGTAGAAATCTGCAAAAGCTACTCTTATTAAACAGAAGAAACTAAAACTTCTCTCAGTGCAATCAGTAACGATATAAGCTGCACAGGGCAACCAAGATAATGGTGGAAATACAGTACTTATGGAAGTGTGACATATGTATCAGATGACCACTTGAACTGATATAACCATCTTTACACATTAGCTTGAAAAATGTTTTACATACTTTTCAATGGGAAGAGGATGAGGTCCAGAGACAGACAGTTTGTAGATGAACATCAGGAATTTTCGAAATGCTTCAAAGAAAGGCCAATGTGAGAGAAGGCAGATACATTTATTAGAATTGATGGACTTGGAAGTAACCACTTTCCTCTCTACAGCTGTCAAGAGACCCAGCTGCAATTGTTGCTTTTCTGTTAGCAGCTCCTGGGGATAAGGCTCATAAAACTGAATAGCAGCACCATAAACCTAAAAAAATGAAGAAACACAACTGAGCAGACTTGGTATTTAACAGAAGTTTGGGTTACAGTTTTTGAACTACCCATAAGTCATTGGTGTTTGCACACATAGTACAGAGGTTTTCTTAGTAGCTTGTGAAAACTATTTTTCATTTATCTAACATACACTAAGCACCCTTATAAAGGAAATATTAAATATTTTGGACTCTTGTGCCTCTCTTCCTTTTTGTCATGGCACATTACTCAAAGTATCTGTACTCAGTAAAATGAAAGGGAACGAACCAAACTGCATTCCATAACAAAACCCTACCTATTAACTGTTACTGGTCAAAAAATCACCTCACAAGATGACTGTATGCTGTAACATTCTCTTATCTTTACCATATTAAACAATGAAAATTATTTTAGCTTTGACTCTATTTTAATCAAACTAAACAGGGACCAATCATTTCTAATATTCTTTTATTATTTTCACAAGTTTCCTAACTGACTGAGTTATTCTAGCAAGTTAATTATTCTAGCAAGTTCAGCAAAAGGAGAGCAGGGAGAGATGGGTACCAGAGCATACGTTATTTCTGTGCAAAATACTGGCAGCTACTATATTCACCCTTGCAAATGAAGTATTAATACCTTGGAACAACACTTTTTCTTGTTTGGCCATAGAGAAGTATATAAACTTCTCTGATGGGGGACTGAGCCTCAGCAAAGTTAAGCTGTCATCGTTAATGGGGCCAAACTATTGTTTATTAGTCACAGAGAGCTAACCACATATTACAGTCACTTACTCCCTTTTGTAGTTCACATACTGTGCACAGTTGGCAAGTTAAAGCAACAGCTGAGAGACCAACCTCCAAAAAGCACTCCCTTGTTTTATCAGGTAGTGCTAATCCTGTAGTCTTTGTGTGCATATAGCAGACACTAACTTCTTACACGTGGGCTGAGTCATGCAGCACATTTTTGTTGCCTGTGGGTGCTGCTGTGCTGTGTACAGATTCCACAGACTTTTGGTGTTTTAAGTTTATAAGTTTATGTGAATTCGGACAGCATCACTAGCTGAAGGAGATCACCAGTTCTTGACCACCTTCCATATACTGCCTCTCAGCTAGTAGTTTTCTGTTCTTCTGTTGTTTTCTGGTACCATCTTCCTGCTTATACACACAGATACCTGCACAGCCCATTCAAACAAATTCACATGGAACCAGCTTTTGATGTAATCATGGGAAAAGCACAACTACGTCAACATTTCTAACACATGGTAAGTGAACATCACCTTCACATGTAGGCTACACTTCTGTTGCTGGGAAGTTTTCTTGAAAGAACAGAGGAAATCCATCCCTTGTGATTTTAGGTTTCCTAAGCATATAATTCTGCATATATGGTTCTAAACAGCACAAACTATTCCATCTATTTCCTGTTTTGGTTTACCTCTGCCTCATAAGAACATTTAAGACATACAAATTTAGAAGTGAAATATTTAACAATTTCTTTAGTACTATTTGTCAAATACAGAAGAGATGTTGCCTATTTTATCTCCTTATCAGACATCTAAAGTAAAAGCAAAAAACAGTCACAATGTGCAGCCATACCTTTTCTGCAGAAGAACAGGTCAGTACAAATGTTGAGAACACCGGTAGTGGATATTTGGTTTGAGGGTCCCAGCATTCAATAGTAGCTCCCATAGGAAGGCAGAAGAGAGGTACAGATTCTGACAATGGGAATGACTCATAGTTCTCTTGAGGGTATCTGAAAATTAAACCTTCATTATGGGAGAAGGAAAAGTTAGTGAATTTGCTCCAGAAGCCCTAAATAATGTAAGCTATATATTTTCCACAATATAGAGATGTATCTGTTGCTTATCTGGACTTAATAACTTAAGATTGCATCCACAGAAGACGAAAGTCTCTCATTTAACAGTGAGACTAAATCATCCACATAACAATAATTTAGAAATTGTACGTGAATACTGAATACTGCCTTTCAACAACAGGTCAATTACAAGTACATAGTAAAAGCTTATTACTGAAGATTTTGACTTTAAATCAGTCAGGAATTACTTGTGGTATTTTAAATGTGCACTGAAACAGATTTTATTACAAAGAAATTCCTATGAAGAAAGAGCTAATTATCTATTGGGATAGTGGTACGAGTATCTCCACTGAAAATAGGATGAATTAGGTCTGTATTTTCTGCTGAGTTAATGTGTTTAATCTTAACAAATTGTTACTCCATTTTCAGAAGTATATCTAAGTCTTGCTTGTAGAAAATGAGTCCACAAGCATCAGTTTACTTCTACTGTTCATCCAACTTTTTAAATGGTACACTGACTTTGTTATTCTATGTGTTTCACTTCTACTTAATAGCTTACTCTGTTGCGTTTAATGCTCAGCAGAAACTCTTTTGGAAGTTTTTCTTTACTTCCAGAGGGAAAAAAAAAATCTGTGGCAATGCATTAAAAATTTTTAAAGGACAGAAAATCTTTATTTTCCTTTAAGTTTCTCTCATTTATTGTTCAGAGTATTGTCACTCTCCCTTAGTAAGAAAGGAGTGAATAGGTTTAGAGCTAAATTAAATGAACAAATTGAAATTTCCAATTAAAGACATTGCATTAACTGTGAGGCATGAAAGGAAATATGAATAACGTTGATAATGTATTCATAATAATGTCCTCTCTCAATTATTTTTCAACGATCCTGGGAGTCTGGAGAGGTCCCGGTAGACTGGAAGCTGTCAAATGTTGTGCCGATTTTCAAGAAGGGTCAGAAAGAAGACCCTAGCAATTACAGGCCTGTCAGTCTCACGTCAGTGCCTGGTAAAATCATGCAGAAGATGGTTCTCGAACGTATTGAGGCGCACCTGGGGGACAAAGCAGTCATTGGTCCCAGCCAGCATGGGTTTGTGAAGGGTAGGTCCTGCCTAACTAACCTGATTTCCTTTTATGATAAGATCACCCGTATGGTGGACCAAGGGAAACCAGCTGATGTGATTTTTTTGGACTTCAGCAAGGCTTTTGACACGGTTTCCCATAGGATCCTACTGGACAAAATGTCCACCATACAGCTAAATAAAAACATCATACGATGGGTGAGCAATTGGCTAACGGGCAGGGCCCAAAGGGATATGGTAAATGGGGCTGCGTCAGGCTGGCGGGCGGTCACTAGTGGGGTCCCTCAAGGCTCCATTTTAGGGCCGGTACTTTTCAATATTTTTATAAACGATCTGGATGTAGGAATAGAAGGCATTTTGAGCAAGTTTGCTGATGACACCAAACTTGGAGGAGTTGTGGACTCTGTTGAGGGCGGAAAGGCCTTGCAGAGGGATCTGGATAGGTTGGAGAGCTGGGCGATCACCAACCGCATGAAGTTCAATAAGAGCAAGTGCCGGGTCCTGCACCTGGGACGGGGAAACCCTGGTTGCACATACAGACTGGGCGATGAGACGCTGGAGAGCAGCCTAGAAGAGAGGGATCTGGGGGTCGTGGTAGACAGCAAGTTGAATATGAGCCGGCAGTGTGCCCTGGCAGCCAGGAGGGCCAACCGTGTCCTGGGGTGCATTAAGCATGGCGTCGCTAGTAGGTCGAGGGAGGTGATTGTCCCGCTCTACTCTGCGCTGGTGCGGCCTCACCTCGAGTACTGTGTGCAGTTCTGGGCACTACAGTATAAAAAGGACATGAAACTGTTGGAGAGTGTCCAGAGGAGGGCTACGAAGATGGTGAAAGGCCTGGAGGGGAAGACGTACGAGGAACGGCTGAGGGCACTGGGCCTGTTCAGCCTGGAGAAGAGGAGGCTGAGGGGAGACCTCATCGCAGTCTACAACTTCCTCGTAAGGGGGTGTCGAGAGGCAGGAGACCTTTTCTCCATTAACACCAGCGACTGGACCCGCGGGAACGGGGTTAAGCTGAGGCAGGGGAAGTTTAGGCTTGACATCAGGAGGGGGTTCTTCACAGAGAGAGTGGTTGCACACTGGAACAGGCTTCCCAGGGAAGTGGTCACTGCACCGAGCCTGACTGAATTTAAGAAGAGATTGGACTGTGCACTTAGTCACATGGTCTGAACTTTTGGGTAGACCTGTGCGGTGTCAAGAGTTGGACTTGATGATCCTTAAGGGTCCCTTCCAACTCAGGATATTCTATGATTCTATGATGGGAATTTTCAATTACTCTTCCTTCTTCACCACCAGCACAAGACACAAACTATGAAATCATTTGTTACATCTGAAGCACTTGCTAGACTTTTCATTTAAACTCCTAAGCCACCTATCCTGTCATGATACACACTGAGTTAATACAATGCAATGCTGTTTCTATTAAGCTTTTTTTCTTTTCCTGGAAAAAAGCGATGAGAGCAAATGAATTAGAGAAGTTGATTTCAATTGACATGCTCTAGGAAAAGAATTTTGACGGACTATGCTCAGCTTTTAAAATTTTTATTTTAATTCAAGAAGGTATCTGAATCTTTACGTTAACATGCTTAGACGGTTTGCTTCTAAAATTACTTACCAGCTTTATACGCTATGGAGTTAGAAGCTGGCACAGACTTCTTATAACAAAGGTATACACTGGAACCCCACTGAAAGACACAAATTTCATCTTGGAGCAAACAAAGACAACAGCAGGCACCACAGAAACCAAGTATTTAAATATACTCCCACTTACAAATGGAGCAGATATTTAAATAAAAAGTGTTACAGAATAAAATTACTGTTTGGCTGCTGAGTGTGTTTAACTCAAGGAATGTAGAAGTCACCCTTTCCACATTCTTAGAGATTACAGATTTACATAAAATAATCATACCACCACACTATTCTTTGATTTACTTCCACATAAGTACAGAGAAAAGTGAAGCAGATTGTTTGCAGCTTTCACACACCACATTTTCTTTATTATATAAAATCAGACACTTACAGGAACCTCATCATCAGTAGTGAAATTCTAAACACCTCCAGTGTTCAATTAATTCATTCATTCATTCACTGGAAGCCTTTAATATATTTTCATAAACTGTCTATTTGCATAGTTTTTGTGCAGTTTGCCTACCATTTGAAAAAAATCATATACTTCAGCCTGAGAAAACCAAACACAAACCAGACTAAATACAAGCAAACGTTAAAAAAAAAAAAAAGGTAAGCAGTAATTATTCTTACAAATCTTTGTAAGATGGTCTTAATAATAACAAAGAAAAATAATTTTTGTTTCATCCTATGAGTATTAGCATCATCAAACAAACAAAAATCCTAGAGAGTACCCAGACATGAATATGCAAACTGAAGTATTAATCACTCCTTAAAAAAATTCCTAGTACAACAGGAAAAAAAAATCAGTGTAACACATAATACAAAATCGAAGTCACGAGGTATATAGAATGAAACAATTATGATGCAGCCAGAGAACACCATCTTAACAGTGCTAGGAAAAGTTCAAAGTGCTCCTTCTGTTTGTTTTCTTTTGTTGTTGTTTGTAATTTTTAAAAAAAGGTAAAAATACTTAACATTTAAATACTCACCATGCCACAATTTAAATTCTTATCAACTTTGCAGAAAGTATGAGGAGGGGTTTCTCCTTTGCTGGTAACAATAACACAGATATCTGTCACTGCCAATGAATTTTGAGGTCGTATTGGAGGAGCCCTTCGATACGTGATGAAGATCCTCTGAGAAGACGTTGAGCTATTGTTAACATTAGCACAGCGACCATAAGGAGTAGCCTGAATCACCTCACAGCCTGAAATGATACGTTCCTTGCCTTCATACAGAACTCTGCAGACAGGAAGGAAGCAAAATATTACACACATTCAAGTACATATGAAATTACTTAAGCAAATGTACAGAAATAGTCCACTCAGTGGCAATTGCCTAGCACAACAGATCTGAGTATTTCTTATAAATTATTTCCATAACTTCAAAAAAAAATTAAAAAGGCAATAACAATAATAATAAAATTAAAAATTACAACAATATATGCAAGTCTGCTTCCCACATCAGTTTCTGGAGGGAAAAGGAAAACCAGTAAGGATTTACGTTCATAGTTTGGCTAACATTTCTTAGTCTACAACAAAAAAATAAATAAATAAAAAACAGACACACAAAAATAACTTTTTGGACTACAGAAAAGGAAGAAATAACAACTACAGTTATTCCTGTATTCCTAGAAACCAGAATACATGACACATACCCATACTGCAACATTTACATGTTATCTGGATTATTTTGGCCAGAGCACTAGCTTAGATCTCTGTATTTGAGGGATGGGGCATCCACAGCTTCTCTGGACAACCTGTGCTCACCACCCTCACAGTGAAGAATTTTTTCCTAACATCTAATTTAAATCTCCCCTCTTTTACTTTAAAGCAATTACCCCTTGTCCTATCATGTTAAAAAAAAAAAAATTTTTTTTAGCTTATACAGATCCAGCAATTCCCAGAATTTTCAAAGTAATATACCACAAAGCTTTTAGAAACCCCTTGAAGATTACTGACCATCTTTAAACTAGAATATAAAAAACATGATTCCACAGAAAAAACATGTATCTGGATAAACAAAACAAAGAAAAAGAAAGCCATGTGCAGCTGTCAGGCCTCCTTCATTCAGGTGTATGCATAGAGTTTACTATGTAATCTCTTCACATCACTGCCTCACACTAATGACAAGTGGAGACTTATCTTTTAATACCCCATGTCAGATTCGGTTAAAACACATTAAATCTAAATAAAACTGAATTAAAACTCAGTAATTTAAAGCTATTCCAGAATATTTGTAAGCTGACAGCTTTTAAAAAGGAACATGCTATTAATGAGACAATTCCAGCAGTTGAGTTTAAAAGGTTTACAAGTACTCTCAGAGAGATGTTTAAAGACTGTAGAGTTTCATTTGTGCAAATACTTCTAAAAGCTAAAGGACTGACCGGTTTTAAAGGCTGCAACAGTTCAATCACCTCCTCTCAAAAGCAAGAAAAAAAAAAAAAGCAGCCCTCATCTCTATACATACACCAACACAGGTATTAAAACGTACCATTTCCTGACCTCACACATAGTAGGGAGTTTAAAAAAAAAAAAAGCCCAACACCCATGGATCATTCAAAATAACCAATGTTTTTAATGATTCAGATCAGAACATTCAGACTGACACATGAAATATTTAACATGACACCCTATACATACAAATCCTCAGTATGAAAATAAGTTTGCTGCTACTTGTTTCAGTTTCCCAGTGTCTGCCTTCAGATTAATTAGTACTGATCGGGATAAGGTTTGTTTCCTGCTTCAGCTTTTGTCCTCATCTTAAGTGCACCTTACTTACTACTTCATTCTATCAACTTCTATTCTACAACATACTCTATCAGTGAAGTTCCAGTCCAAGCAAAATGTCACCTACAGTTTCCTCTAGACGTTAGGTCTTTAGGTCCTAAGCTGTTCCAAGTACCCAAGTACCCTACTGCAGTTGCCACACTAGTGGGCTCTAAGGAGCAATGGAAGATGATGGCTATTGAGAACATCCTCCTTTTGCTCGTATGGTCTCTGAACCTCAAGTTCACTTTTTTTTTTTTTCCTAAAATATATCTCTAGTGAAAAAAAGCATTTGCTCAATCAATATTCCCATAAACACTTTCAGAAAGCAGTTACACAGAATGAGTTGCATCCATGGCACAGAACCACTAACTATCTAATAAAGAAATTTAGTATTTCTTAATTTGCACAGTGGAAGTAACCTAACTTTAAACTTACTCATTAAGGGAAGAACCTCTGCATTAGACAACAAATCTAAGACTCACTCTTTAGTCTCTTCTATAGTAAGTGTTACAAATAGCAAAATTACTTAGACTTTCAAAGCATTTTTCTGTCAAATTTTTCTTCCATTTAAGAAACCAGTTCTGTAACTCCCTCCTACTCCTATCAACTGACACTTCAACAAGATCTCTCCCCATTGAAAGTCCCACTGCACCTAAACCAAAGCAAATCTCAAATTGCATTTTTCCTGACATTCCAGAAGAGGCAACAACTATTTGGAAAGAAAGTAACAGAATGACTAGTAGCTGAATTATTTGCAGGCATATAAGCTTAAAGTACTGAATTTTAGAGCTATACATATGAAAAGGATCTTAGGGATCATTATCCTAGGATCAAACCTTTATTCTCCCAACTAAAAAACAACCACAGCAAATGCAACATTCAGAGGAATGGCACACAGTTTAACTGCATGCACGTGAGCAGCTGCAACAGGAACTCACTACCAGCTTACAGATCCTTCAGCTTAAGAACCAGTAGAAGAATAGGAAGGTCTGGGGATAGGAGTGAAAGAGGGTAGAAGGCACAGAAACACAGAACACAAGAAAAATGACAGAATCAGTGGAGCACGCTCTCATCTCCCCTCTTCCTCCAAACAGCATTTGTTTAACCTGTTTCCCTAAAAATAGCCCTGAAAAAAAATATATACATACATTTATCAATAATTATTTGAATACTCAAACTGCAAGATAACTCTGCTGTAAAGATACATATTAACCTATAAACACATTTATTTACAACTATAACTTGTATATTTTCTATGTAATACCATAAGCGTAGATTTAATGTAAGCATTTACATTTATTTTATATTCATATGTTATTTTATAAGTAGTTGTATTAAAGCAGTATATGTAACATTTGCATAAAAGTTGTTTGTATATATACATATATAGGCCAGTCAGTCTCACCTCTGTGCCTGGCAAGACCATGGAGCAGATTCTCCTGGAAACTGCAAAGGCACATGGAAAATAAGGAGGATTGATGACAGCCAACGTGGCTTCACTAAGGTCCCTTCGAATCCAAACCATTCTATGATATATGTATACATATAAACAGCATCTAACTATGGATTTGACCCTTTTAAGGGATATAATCTTCCTCTACTTATTATATCCATTCAGCATGTCAGCTGACTTAATGGATATTTAAGGTTCAATGATAAAACATCATTTCACACATTTTTTTTTAAATTAAAAAACAAGTATTAGAGAACAGAAGAAATTAGCCTTCAGACTGTACATTTGCCTCGCTTATACTAACTCTCTTGCCCAAACTCCACATTTATTTGAACATACCGAAGTTTACAAAAAAGTTTGCTCCAACTATCTCTTGAATGTAGTTGCAAAACAGCAGGAGCAGCATGGGGAAAACACGCATACGCATCATTGCTCAGAGAGAAAAGCCTGCCATTATTTGTTAGGTATAACACCCCAACTAGATCTGTGTAAAACAAAATATAGAATAAATGCTACTTGCCAAACACAACAGTTTTACACCCATCATTTAAAACAGTGTATCTGCCCAGGAAGCTCATAGTCAGTCAACTATTTCCCTGTTTTGCTTATCAGATATTCCCTGTGAAACCAATTCCAGCATCCATTGTAAAGTTAAGGGGGACATGAAAACTCACATGCACTAGCAGAGTCCCTTCCATAAAGGCATTTGCTGGAGACTACTGGTTTAAGTATCACTTTTAGGAATTACCCCTCTACTAATTTTTCCTCATGTTAAAACTTTGAATTACATGACAAAGTTCATAATAGCTTGCTGAAACTCTACACGTTCAAATCTCATTATAACTGTTATCTTGCAGTTTCAGTCACACGCATGGAAAACAACTACTTTAAAATCACTGTTTCACCAAAGAGTATTAGAACACAGCTTAGACAGCCCAGATGAAATGAAATTGGAATATATGAGGTTAATTATACAACTCGAACTATGATCCTCAGATCACAGATCTCATCACATAACTTATTTCATCACTATGATTTCACTACTAGTTTTTTCCAGACTTGACTCTACTTGTCAGCTGGCATTCATATACTGGAGGTCAAAAGCAGAGCATGTAGGCGTTGTGCTTGACATGCTTAAACTTACAAACAAAATTAAGTAAACTTACAGGTTTGGTACAGACATATTCTTTACTTTACTTTTCAGTGCTTATTTAATAAGGAAAACCACACACCTTTCATAGTTTACCACGATTGTAGAAGTCATGATCCCTCCCTCCCCCATCTTCTGTTTTCTTTTTATCCAGCAATTCTACATCATCCTTATCCAATCTGGAGAAGTAACGGTTCTATATAAGCAGGTCAGACAACTCTGCAGTGCTTCATGAGTTGTTACAGATGGAGAATTACCTCAAGATGCTAGTATCACAAAGTATAATCTTCAGTACCTCAAGACTTTGGGGGATTTTTTTTTTTTTGATCTTGCTCCTGAATACCTATACTTAACCCACTATTCTGTAAGTAATAAAATTAGTTCAGAGCTTCAAGGTCCTCCGTCATTTATTAGGCACTAAACTTCCAGTACTCTTAATGACCAACCACACCACTCAGTCACATCCACTCTGCTTTTTTTTTTTATTATTATTTTCTACAGCTTACCAGTCTAAATTCTCATTTTTCAATAAAGAAACTATACAGATATATTAATTTGATAAAGCCTCAAGTATATTCATCTGACTTCAACAAATGTCCAAGTTTATTAAGCTATATACCTCCAAAACTATTTACAGAGACACAGATGTTCCCAAAATTACTTTGCCAAAAGCAATTGCAGCAGCAACTTGCAGCCAAGCACACATGTAAGATAATACGAAAAATTGTTGACATCTCAAGAAAACAAGAGACAGAAAATTTATATTCAGATCAGCTCTACTGCTAGTACTGATTTCAGAGCTAAGAGTTACCAAATTCTATAGGAAAAAAAAAATAGCTTTATAATGGAAAGACTAAATCTTTTTTTTTTTTAAAAAAAAAAAAAAAAAAGAAAAAGTCTTCAGCTTTTGCAAGTTGCAAAAAGCAGTCTCAGACACTCTAGAAATGGGCATACAAGACTGCAATTTCAGAATTAAAGAAGTTTTGGAGATAAGTAACAAACAGATTTCTCCATTCTGAAAGTCCACACTGAAAGTTTACAAATTAAACCACAAGTTCTGCTTTAGACATCATGGAAAAAAATGCTCACATTTCTGGAGAAGGACAAAAAGGTTTTGATTTATTGGTTGTGAGAGTATAATCATTAAGAATTATTGCAGGTAATCACAAGAAAATATTAAGTAATTTCATGGAATTTAAAAATACCATGGACATGTTGTTGCAATACAGTAAGATATATTTCAGGTTTTCAAATACAGTACCAGTAACTCTTCAGAAACTTACGCATCAGACAAAAAAATGTGGTTTTTGGAATACACATCTGATTAGAGTTGTCAAGAGACTACATAATCAATCAAGCGTTTGCAGACAATCATGTCAGAACTTGTAAGCAACCTCAAAAATACTGCGATCTGATAGTAATGCAGGCTACAAGATCCTTGGTAAATGGATAATTTCTAGATCTTTATTTCAGTGTTCTACAATTTTTAAGTGGTATCTATCAATTACCTTGAAGTGAATTTCACATGACAGTATTTTAGTTGCCTTCTCAAGTCATCATTTCCAGATGAAACACTACAGCTTGGGGTTTGAACTATACCATTTCTATACATCAATTTTGTACTATTTTCTTACCTTTCACAAAACTGCAGCAGAGAACTTGATTTCGCATATTTGATTTGCTCCATAATATCTTTTTAAACTAAAACAATACTGTATAATTTTAATCTAGAACACTGTAATTCCTTCTAAAAAGCAAGTTCACCAGAAGACTGACATGTTTTTGAACTTATTTCAATATGAAAATGCTACATGGACATAAACACAATAAACAGTATATATTCAAAATGCATATGCTTTTAGAGAAGCTTTCTCACATCTGTTTTCAGCATCATCTGTGAAGAATAAGATTTGATCATTACTGCAGGAGTAGTTACGTTACTGAAGTATAGTTACAAAAGTCTCACCCAATGTCAGTAAGAGGTGGTTTGTCACGGCCTCTCTTGTAGCAGAGAAAAAGTTCAGGACTCTTAAGACTTCCATAGTTTAGGTTGGCTTGAAGGGCTGTAGGGGTAGCTTCGACACAGGTGTATCCCTCTGGGACAGTTTCACCAGCTGATTTAATGATCACAGCAATGTCAGTAATTGGAGCCTTTGGACCAGTTGACTTTGTTTCCTGGCGGCTTATTTCTTGGTCCAGGAGAGTTGCAGTATCTGTATCAGTGAGCCCTGCCACTACAAAATAGTCAGCCACTCGTGGACCTTTGTCTTCTATCATGGTTATGCCAGTACTTCCTGGAGAAAACAAAGAGAAAGAGATCAAATAGTCTGCTTTCAAGATAAATCCCTTCCCTAAACAAGTATCAGAATTTGAAACATTTAAAGATGGTTCAGCAAATCAAAAAATTCCATATAGGCTTTAGAGATTTCAAGAAAATTGTAGGGAAATCCAAAACAAACTTTACTTTATGCTGCTCAAAAAGATAATTTTGTAATTTATTAGATTCCAGTTGTAGTGCCATAATAGACATGTTTTGGCAAGAATAACATTAAGTTCCTAAGTTTCTTCCTTCGAAGTTCCTAACACAGCAGCTACATAGAAAATTGCTTGGCATTACCTATTAGACCATTCAAGCTCTTCACAGGCCTTAAATTAATTCACATACCCCCAACTAAAAGCATCTCTATTTTTCTGGCATTACTTTGCGAGTAATTTGACTACAGAATCTTGCCTTTTTTTCCCCTCCCCTTCAGAAGACAGAACAATTCAAAGTATATGCTTACTAGTTTATCATCTGCACATTTCATCCATTTTGTTTCATAATTTAGACCTAACAGCACAGTCTTGAGACATTCAGCTGGCAAGTATAACATCTGGAAATCATTTACAGAAATCACACATCCAAACCCACATTTCATCAGCTGATCAAGCTGTACACATCATTGCTCAGCTGCACATTCCAGATCTGGAAAGAGTTCTCCCAACACCCAGGGATGTTCACTAAGCATCTGATTTTAAAATAGGCAATACAATTTTCTCTTAACAGCAGAAGTGGCTGACAAACTATATTTAAATTTCACAAATACAGTTACAAGTATTGGATTTCATGAAATAAATATCCTTTTAAAAGCCGACTGAGAATTATTTAAATAACATCTGCCAAGCAAAAACCTGAATAATGCCATACCCCGTCGGTGAGGCGGGGGACACCTTCTTTTAGATGCCCCTATTTCTGTCACCAGATTTCTGGGGATCCCATCTATACAGGTAAACAAGACCAGAAGTCTTGGCTTTCCTCTTTGAAAACAAGTCTGCCACAACTCCAAGGTCCTAGCTGCCAAGGAGTTGTGGTCCATGAATATTACTCATTAAGTGCATCAAAAATGAGAACTGTCTCACATTTAAAATATCCTTACTGCTCTGATAATTGCATAAACACTAGCCTCCATTAGCAGAAAGGTGGTTTGAGGAAAAGAGTATAAACCTATTCTTTGCAACGTGCCTTCTCCTCCAGTTCCTACTCTGTTCTTACTGAAGTCATATAGGAAAGGTATCTTTCCTCTTTGCAATTTACAAGATTTCTAGAGCTTGTTATCAAAAGCATTGATTGGACAGCTGTAGAAAAAAAAAAAAAAAACAAGAAAAAAAAAACACAAAATCAATGAGTTATTCATCCTGCATGTTTACTAAGAAATGTTAGCATAAGAATACACATCTAAGGCACCAACCTCTATATTGCAAGGTGCTGTAGAACAAGATGAAGGGGGGGGATAAGACATTCATACTCATGTAAATTTAAAGTACATCTATACTGTGAGTAACTCAATTTTTGGCTAACGTTGAAATTACAACTTTTCAAATCCATCTGAAAGAATGAAGCCTACACACCTTAGAAGACTTCTCTTCTGTAATATTTTCCCACAGTAATTCTCACATGGACTCAGTATTCTCTAAATGCTCTGGTTAACAGCTTTTACAGGATAATCCATAAACACACATCCTGGGAAGAGACACAAAAGTGTTGCACCACCCTGAAAATGGGAAAGCCATCATGGTACAGCACTAACATGACTGAGTTCTCTGGTCAATAAATAAATAAATATATAGACACTTATCCATATAAATACATGGATGCGTAATCAACAGGAACAATGCGGTATGTTCAATCTCACCAACTGTTCTCTGCCTGGGTCTCCTGAAGAACAATAAGATGACTCAAAAGCTGTAACTCCTTGTTAAGCCTCTGAATGACTTTCAACTGCACAACTCAGAACAGTTTATCCTTCTTACCAACATAAACAACATTAAATCAATGAAAAAGCTCTTTACAGGTACGTAAATCATCATGAAATAGGGGGATTAATGGCTTCAGTTTAATCTCACATAAATTAGTGCTTCCATTAAAAAAATCTCTCCTCATACTGCTACTGCTCACTCCCACCTTTACTTTCGACCAGAACCAGAGTTTGTGCAACCAAAAATGAACTGGAACAAGAACTACTCTGGCTGAACACTAACCTGGCAAAGACTGCTTAGGGTACAACCAGAGCAGCTCTCCAGTGATTCACCATGTCAGCACAAACAGCAGTGTAATGCCCCTTTCAGCAGCAGCACGGACTTGCACTGGATTAATCATAAAACTGCGCAGTCTAAGATATTTCAGTTTACCTCTCAGATGCTTGGACTTGTTCATAGATTTATAAAAATAAATAAGGAAATAAACCAACCTCTCCCTGCTCCCCTTAAAAGAAGGGCAAGTCCCGTGCCAGAACATCTCATATTGTGGAAAGTACTGGTTGCACTTGACATAAGTGATACCAAATTACTGGAACACGATGCTAAAAATAGCAAAATGGTTGGCATCATCTAAAGGGTTTTACTAAAAACAAAATTGTTGTTAAAGTGATCCAGTCTTTTACTACCCACTCCAAGTTCACACACCTCAGTACGAATTTATATTTTTCTCTTAGCCATAGTTATGTTTTAATTCACAGAAACTCTCTGTAACATGTGGCAGGTAGAAGTCAGTCACCAGACAATTCAGCTGAGAAACAGAAGCCTCCTGTGTCAGTACAACGCTGGGGGAGTTTTCCAAGATGTTCTGAGACACTCACAGCAGTTCCTTTCCTTTTCCACGAGGATAAGTAAAGTTTCAAATAAGCACTACAACACAGCTCTTCCAGAACATATTATCCTATTTCAGAGAGATTTAAAGCAACAGGATCTCTCAAATGAGACCTTGAATATATAGCTCTTAATTAAGCCATGGCCATCTTCTTAAATGCAAGATTGTATAAATGTAAATACATGCTAAACTACAAACTACCAGACAGCCACCAAAACAAACAGGAACAGATCTTCAGCAGGCTTCAGTGAGTCTGAGAATATTTTGCTTTCTGAACTGCAGGGAAAAAAAAGTATGACTTGTAGGGTAGCAAGATGAATTCACTGCTATTTTCCAGTATTTTTGTAATACTTCACACAAAAATTGGCAGGAACACTACTCTCAATTGACAAGGAAACAAACATACTTGCAAAGGACCTTTTATCATAAATTTTGTAGAATCATGACAACTTTTCCCCACTGAAATTTCAAAAGATGCTGTCCACTATCAGTACTGTGATGTACAGAAACTTACTCATGCAAGGCCAACAGGAAAACTTGTAACCCTAAAAATCTATTCATTTTTATTGACATCCCATTCCTCTGCAAAATAATACATAAATAAATAAATGATACCTTGGTGATATCTTGGTGTTTGATGGAAAACAATAGAAAAAACATGGAAAAACAAAGTGGTGTTAAAAGCCCCTTATTTACTCTTTTCTGAGAACACTATTACCTCCCCAGAAAAATTGCTATGTATAATAAACACAAACTGAATTTTAAATTTTCTTCCAAAGTTTATTTTGTACTCAGTAAAAAGCCTATGAAATTAAGTTGAACTCTGTTTTATAAAACTCTGTTTCAAAATTCAAAGCAATTGTCCCCTAGGAATAAATGAAATCAGATTAGTAAGAGCCTAACATCTGAGAGAAAACAGTTTTAGAGAAAAGGCACAAGCAAATCTTCCAGCAACCAAAAAACTCAATTCACTGCTTACTAATGCAGTGTACTTCTGTTAATTAACACGTCTTTGAAAAAGCTGAAGACTTGTAAGATACACCAAATCTTTCCCCAAACCTACCACCTTTCCCTTCATCACCCACATGAAGAGTCATAACTGTGATATTCTTGACCCTAAACAGCACGAAGCTGCGTCAGGGGACATTCAGACGGGTGTTAGAGAAAGGTCCTTCGCTGAGAGGGTGGTCAGGCCCTGGGACAGGCTCCCCAGGGCAGTGGTCAAGGCACTGAGCCTGCTGGGCTTCCAGAAGCATTTGGACACTGCTCTGACACATGGTCTGATTTTTGGGTGGTCCTGTGTGAAGCCAGGAATTGGGCTCGAGGATCCCTGTGGATCCCTTCCGACTCAGCATATTCTACGGTTCTAAATCACAAAAATAAAATGACAGCTTTTCAGCCTATTTTCAATATAATCAAAGTCCAGAAATGTCATTAAATGAAAATACTGATGAACCGATGGTCAAAGAATTGAAAGTTTAAAGATATTTCTGCAAGTGATAAATGACTAACACAACTTTGCAATCTATTTACTTCTATCTTCTTTCAGACGCTACCAGTCTCCAAGAACCACAATGAGTGGAAACTGCTTACTATTTACAATTTACTCAATTGTAAATGACTGAAGAACTTATAAAAGATGGCATAGTTTCCTCAAAGCAGAAAATATTTTTGTAACAAGACTGCAAAGGAAATAAGTTTCATTCCAGACTCTAGAATAACTTCAGCATTTTTTGTGGACTGTGGTTGAAAGACAGATTTTGAAGGCAATCAGCCTACACAATTAAGAGTTTTAAGCATAGATGTTAAACACAGCTCAGAACTTCTACACAAATGCTCTGTCGTGTAAACGAATTATACTTGGCTATTGGCAGTAAACAAGTTAGAAGAAAAATGTACGCACATTCTATCCTCTGGATTTATTCCTAAAATGAGCTGGCTTAAAGATCAGGAAAGATCAGGATACTGAATTCACTAAACTAATTTAAAAGACAGAGACTCTAGTGGTTGGATACAAGGCAGCGTGTCAGGAGGTCATCTGCAACACTTGGAAAATTTGCTGGCTACAATCCAAGTATGAGAGAAAATTTAGTATGCTTTTTCAACCACTACACTAGGCAAATCTTCATAGACCACACAAAGACTACCATAAACAACCCATTACCCGGTATAGAGCTTAAGCAATGTAACCAAGTCTTTATTGTTGTAACTTCTCCATTATTTCCAGTGTACTTATCAGTAGGGAGAAAAGATATGGGCAGTTTATTTACCTTTATGAACATTCAAAAAGAAATGCTCTTTGCTGTAGTACAGAAGGGGGAGAGATCTGGTTATTCTTCTTTACTCATACAGCGATTTCTTTTATCTTGTGCTGAGAGTAATTGCTACGGAACAGGAAGAACAATTTGTTTCCCATTTGTATAAAAGAATCTTCACTGATGCTTCTTAAATTTCAGCTTTATACCACAGCAACTAGTCCAAAATTTCTTTTAAGGAGTCACTTTGGTAATGTCCCTGATTCACATTAAAAGCCTTACACAGCAAACATACACGTTAGGAAGTTTAAACACGTAATCAGCAAGACAACCACTCTTCTTGAAGTAAAGTGGCAACAGCTACTCTAGAACTGAAAATGGACACGAAAAAGTTAAAATAAGATTTATAAATGTCTTTGAAGAAGATAAACCAGTGTCATACACAGCAAAGATGTACAGCTAGGATGCACTAAGCCTTCAGCTTTCCCCTACTCCTCCATTTCAAATGCCAAAATCTTTACGTAATATTTCACAGCAGCTGTAAAGATAAAGGGTTGGCAATATTTGTGTGAAGAAGTTACTTTGGACAGGAGAAGGTAGAACCTTAGGGCCTGAACTTAGCAAGTTTGACTGCCAGCGAGGATTTGGACACCTAGGAGTTTTTATCTCTAGGGCTATTTATTAAAAATTAAAAAAAAAAAGCAATACAGTTGTGAAAGGACTGAAACTACCATTGCTTATAAAGTGTGTACTAATACTATAAATACAACTTTTTTTTTAGAACTTGACTGAGGTGTAATTGCATCAACAATATTGCATTGACAACACAATATTGCACCAACAGTACTGCTTTCTTCTGTTTTTTAGACTATTCCCTAGTTGTATTTCATAACCCCAGAAAGCACACAGTGAAGGTAGTTCTTATTGTTAACTGTATTCAAGAAAAGAGAATGATTGCTTTTGTTTTATGTGCCTCAGATTTAGTCTTTCTTTAACTGGATTTTAAGAGGCAGGTGCTAATAATCAAATTCACTTGGAAAAGCAAACAGGAATGTAATCATGGACTATAGTTGGCAATCAAAACTTGTTTGGAATTTTTTTTTTTTAAACACAAAATACAGATGTGATTTTAGCACACGGATGTACCCACATAAGTCCTAAGTGTAAGCAGCATATGCAAAGAGTCACCAATGCTGCAGTGTTAAGACCCAGAATGTACTGGAATATACACAAGTTCCGGAAGAGCTTGCATTCCTGCTGTTTGTCCATCCCAACATATCTTCACTAATATCACTCACATCAGCATGCTAGTCCATACTTCGCCACTTCTAAGCAAGCCCATTTGTACCCAGACAAGCATACAGCTCTAGCCCATACATCCAAGTTTGGTGCAAGTTTGACAACATAAATCAGGCCTTACACGTGCATCACAGATGATGGTTTAAAACTACTACAAAGCAAAACATTATAAACTGGAATATTAAACAATGTTGAACTAGTTCATCCTAAATGATGCAGTTTTATCAAACACTTAAATGTCATTAGCAACACATAGGGAAATCGTACAGACATGTCTCTATTAGTTCTTCGAAGCACACTTTACGTTAAGAACACACCACA